TGAAGAAACCACTGGCAGAATTCCCTTCCTTGCAGGCCTCTGGGTTGTGGGCCCAGCTTCTTGGTGGCTGTCAGCTAGAGGTCACTCTCCTTCCTTACCATTCAGACATTCATTCTCACCTGTCCCACCGTGGCTGCTGGCTTCCTTAAAGCTGAGACAGGAGGGGAGCCTCAGCACGATGGGTTGGAACCACCATCATGTTATCATGGAAGTGGCATCTCATCAACCTTTGCTGAATTCTAGGTTAAAAGTGCACTCAGTGCCTGTCTACTCATGGGGAAGGAGATGCACAGGAAGGAATACTAAAGATGGGGACAAGGGGTTCATCCCAGGGCTCAGAGAGGCTGGGGGTGAACTTACATCATGAGTAATAGCTTTAGAATTTTTTTTCTTCTAGTGCTGTGGATTGAGCCTAAGACTTCCTACATGCTAAGAAGATTATCTATCATTGAGGTCTACCCCTAGTCCTCACCATCTCTCTAAGGATTTTTCCTCTTAAGTGGGGTAGAAAACCATGAGGAGTTTTGAGCAAGAGTTTCTATTAGAATTTATGTTGTTAAATATTGCTCTGCCTCAGTATCTAGGGGCAACTACAGTTGGACCAGCAGGGAAGCAAGAAACCTGAGGCGGCTATTGCTATATCCTCCACAGGAGATGGTGGCAGGGTTTTGGGGGAAGGGTATGGAGAGGGGTGGACAGAACTACTAACAATTTGGTCATTAGGACACTGTTAACAGGAAAACTAAGTTGTTTGCCTAAGTTTACAAACTAGCATTGGAAGAACATTCTTGCTGCCAACCTGCTTCTTTTCCTGTTCTCTTTCTGCTGTGCCTTTACAGACATGACAAGTGAGACAAGCTGTTTCTCTGGGCCCGTTTGCATTTCCTACTCCCTGCCTTCACCTCCAAATTTGCTGTAAACACACAGATACACACATGGTCTATAGGCTTCTTGGAAGAAGCGGCAGTGTTGCTTTTACTCTGAAGATTTTTAAAGCAACGCTGGTAGTATTAGGTAGGGCTAGCAGAAGCAAATGCTTTATCTTAGAGAGACAATGGCACTAGCCAGAAGCCCTAGAATTTATGCTACTGTGTATATAGTATCTCCTGTTGGTGCCTTGCACATATTTATGGAAGCTGGGCAGCCCGGAGCTGCAGAGCATATGGAGAGGGATGGTGCTGTCTTTTTGATGTGCACTCTTCTGAGATATGGATTATTAGTTTTCTCGAGTAGGTAGTGGCATAACAGTGGAAACTGTCTTTATAAAAATAACTTCCAATTATTCAGTGGTATATGCCAGGCAATGTGTGAGTACCTTTTATCTATTAAGTCACGCAACCATTAAAACACCCTCATGAATTATGATCCCATTTTAGAGGAAGTAAAAGTAAAGTTCTAAAAACTCAAATTACATTTAGCTTATAATCTTATCTACCTCCATCTCAAGTTGAATCTCTCTTCTAGGAAAACATAATTTGCATTAATGGAGAAGTGAAGTTCCATTTAGTCTCTTCTCCCACTATGTTGTGTTTCCTAATGGCCAGGCATTTTGGAAAAAAAAAAAAAAGAAGGTTTTAAAGATCTACATTTCTTTCTATTTCCTATGAAAATCAACCTGTTTTTTATTTCTTTTTTTTCCACTACAGCTCAGTAGTTAACTTGTTGCCAACTTACAGGAAAAATGAGTCTTCTCTCAAGATTCTTGATGAGATTAAGGGAAATATTTTCATTTTTCAAAGTAGTTCCCTGAATTTATTCTGCCACAGACATCTGCCTTAAAGCTTGAATTAATGCTGCATGGTTTTAAAGAGGCTAATTTCCAACAGTCTGAAAAATACACTATGATGAGTGAAAAAGAGATGTAGGTACATTTTGATCAAATAAGGAATATTTTAATCATTTTTGGGAAGGTAGAACTAGGCATTTTTGACTGATACTAATCACAAATGGCATTAAACTGGTCAGCAGTAAAGGGACACGGGGAGGGCGGTAGGAAAGGGCCAGGAAAAGGTTCCCTATTAAATGAGCCACAAAGGTCATTCTTCTCCTGAAGAACGCTAACCTCAAAGGAACATGATGGTGAACCACATTAACACATTTGTTTCAATGTCTGAAGAAACAGTACAAACAAAGCCAGTAGGAATGTATAATTATAAATTTATGAAGACAACAAGCCCACAAAAATACTAACCTTAGAAACTGGGAATTCTCTGAAAAATGCTCTAAAGGAGTTGCGGTAAAGTGCTCGCTAAGCATGAATAAGGTCCTAGATTTGATCCCTCGTATCACCACCAATAAAAATAAAAATAAAAAGTAAAAATAAAAAGATAAGAATTTACTCTGAAGAAAAGGTCACATAATAATTATGGCAACTTTTGCTTCTTGTACCTATAGTCTATATTGTTCCCCCTTTTCATGAAAAGGTTCTCTTAAATGCTGAAAATCTCAGCGGGGCATAGTGGTGGTGTGCCTATAATCTCAGCATTTGAAAGCTGAGGCATGAGGGCTGTTATGAGTTTGATGCCAGGCTGGGCTAGTTCAAGACTACACAATGGGACCTTGTCTCAAAAAAGTACAATATTTTTAGCCCCTTGTATAAACTGCTACTGGAGACTCTGTCTCTTTCTTTGCTTTCTTGTTATTTTTCTTGGTCTTATCTTTCTGGGGAGGGAGGGAATCTCTCCCTCTATAAAGCCACTGAGGAACGACTTCTGTCACTCATAATAAAATGTCCAAGATAATTTGCTCTATCTCCAAGCATGCTACTGGCTTTCACATCCTCTGGCAAATTAATCTTTCCAGTTTCAACAACACGAAGCTAAATTAATTGTAAGTGACTGCAGCATAACCATCCTTCAGGGATCACACCGTTTGCCAGACAATGCATATTTAAGGTCTTCACATTTTCAAGGGATGTAAAGGCTGGCTGTTTTTGCTGAAATCAAACCATTCATTATATGTTGTTAGCATTTTTGTCTTTTTATTTTGTTGATTTGTTTGTTTTGCTGTTTATACCTGCAGCTTTGATCAAATTTCCACTCCGCTGCAGGGCAGGGGCTGCCTTGTCACACGTTATATCCCTATCCCCAACACATAATAATGTGTCTGGAAAACGTCTGCTGAATACATTGAATATATTCTTCCATCATTAATTTGAAGCACGAAGATGACATTCTACAAATACTTCTTCTTCCCAGGTAGCAGTACAAATCAAGGTGTTATGGAAAGCCTGGAATGAAGGTGAAAATAAACCAAATTTTTGACAAATAAAAAGTTTTGGCAAAATGTCTTTCAAAACAAGTCAAATCTCTGGCAGAGGAGCATTTTTACTTTAGATGGCATGGGGATTGACCCCAGGTCCTCACATGTTAGGAAGGCATTCTACGCAGGAGCTGTATTTCCAGATCTAGGGATATTTTTTTTTCCTGAATGACCTTTATCATTTTTCAGAAGACACCTGTGCAACATTATTACAGCACAGTCTCCTACAAATGTTATATTATGCTTACATGGACTACTTACTGGATGTGAAATTTAATTATTTTTGTTTTTGCATTCTATCTTGATTCATTTTCACAGCCCGTGTTGGGAAATATATCTGTAAAGATTTATTCAGACTTACTTCATTTTAGCATAATATTTAGGCTTTATATCCAGATCTACATGGTCCACGTGCAAGCTCTTGCTTGGTCTGAAAGGACCACTGTTAGTTTCATTAGTTCAGATTTCAATAGGCATGACCTGTGCTGTTAGTTGTGCCAAAGCATAGACCCAAGCACGTGTCCTTCCTGTTTTTCCCTGGTGTGTGGTCCACCAAGAAAGCATAAGCCTCCTCATTTTTAGGGTTAGGAGTTTGTTTTTTTCTCCGATTATCAGTCGGCTTCAAAGCTCTACATGGGCTTCAGATTCAAAGCAACAACCCAACATTAATGTACGTAATGTCCCCAGGAACTGAACAGATAATTGATAAATCACTGGCTTCAGAAACGCTACATTATTTCTGTGTGAAATTGGTCAGATTATTAAAGGGCTTTTGTTTTTTCGAGTCTTACTTTTTGTTCTTTTTTTTGCTAGCCTAAATTACTTTTTATCAGCATTGGGGACAGGACCTAAAACAATTCTACTGGGTGAAACAGTTGGACACGTGTTGGGGGCGGTTTTTGCACTGTGTGTGTTTAATTCATTTAGGACAAGACACATCTTTTTGTTCCGAAGTGGATGCATAACTAGCCTTTTTCGTTAGTTTTGCGAGACCTTGTATAAGTTTTTTTTTTTTTTTAAACGAGTTCTGAGTGCTGATGATCACTGTTTCACAGCAATGAAGAACACAGGTAATAAGCACCATCAGCTTTCCGGAGGGCGCAGCCTCTTACTCAGCTTCTGCAGCTGTGCTGACTGGAAGCGCTCGCTTTTGGGGGCTGAGCCCCTAGGGAAGAAATGGGCATTTTTCTCCTTCCTATCACGAAGAACGTTTCCAGGGCCCGAAAGTTCACGCATACCCACGCAAAACACAAGCACCCGAGGCCCGTTATGCAAGCTCCACAGAGGCGGGCGTGCCTCGAAGACATGCAACACACCTGCTGCGCGTCACCCTGCCACCTGGCTCTGGGCCCTCTGCGCAGCCGCGGCGGACGCGCGCGCCCGCCCGCGGCGCCGGAAGGAGGCGGTGCCCGGAGGCACGAGAGCGCAAGCGCGGGCGGGGGCGGGGCGAGGCGCGGCATATATAAGGCACGCGCGGCTGCAAGGGTGGGCCTGGCAAGAGCGGTGGAATCGGCTGGACGCTGGGCGCCGTGGACGCCGCGGGCCGCGCCAGGGCGGGGAGAGGGAGGGGAAGTAGGAGGAGACGCGAGTGCGGGGTGGCGCCGGTCCACCGCCGCAGCCCTCCTGGCCCCCGCCGGCGTCCGAAGGCGGGCACGGGCTGCGGCAGCGGCGGCCTGGGGAGGTGAAGCTGGAGGGCGGGTCCGGGTCGGCGCAGCGGGGGTGGGGGCTCGAGGGCGGCGGCTCGCGCATTGGCCCAGGTCGGCTCTCACGTCGCAAGGCTGGCGGGTGGGCCGGACCGCGGGGAAAGGAAGGTCGGCGGGGCTGTGAGGGACCACCTCGCCCGTGCCCAGGACGCCCTGAGCGGACAGTGACGGGGCGAGCAGCCCGGCTGCGGAGCGTCACCTGGGGGTGCAGCTTGCGAGAGCACCCTGCACCCGTGCCGGGTAGGGATGGACTTGCCGCCAGGCTCTAGAGGAATCAGAGGGAAGTTACCGGTCTGGTTTAAGAAACTGCTGTTTCACTTAGTGGGAGTTTGAGGTTTTCTTCGAAATGTTCGTGATTGAGTTTGGCAATGGGGGATCGAGTCAGGAGATTGCGTTGAGGTTCCCTTGTGGAAAGCTGTGTGTGTGTGTGTTCACCCATAGACGTTTTTCGCAATGTGGTTTGCGCCTGTAAAGAGAGGAGCTCAGGAGCCATTGCTTGATTAGCAGTTCTTCCTCCCTGTGTGGAAAATCGAACTTCTGGAAACGTCCCCCGCCTTGTAGATTTTTTGCCGACGTAAAGGCTATGCGAATTGACCAGTGCTTGCCACTAATTACCTTGAAAGCAGTGGAACGGAAAGGCAGTAACCGAAGCACTGTTAGTTTTTGAGCTTACTTCTGTGGAATTTTAGGAAAGTGGGTCTAGACTTTCTAGGGAAGCTAAAGCCTGTCTGTGCCCCCCTAGTTTACTGTTGCACTTTGCTTTCCCCCCTTCTCTTCAGCCTCATCAGTTTCAATGGTGCAACTCTCTTCGTCCCCTTTTGGTTACCAGTCACCTTCAGGCCGGTCAGAGGAGGGAAGAGTGGGGAATATGAAGTCAGCCAAGCCCCAGGTGAACCACAGTCAGCATGGGGAAAGCCAGCGGGCCCTGAGCCCTCTGCAGTCTGCCCTGAGTTCTGCTGCATCTCCATCCCAGGCTTATGAGACCTACATCGACAACGGACTCATATGCCTTAAACACAAAATTAGAAACATCGAGAAAAAGAAGGTAACCGTTTTCCTCCCAGCCCCTGCATGGTCGTAAATAAGGAGCTGATAATTTCTTTGTCAAGGGTCATAGATTTACATTCCTGAAACTTGAAACATAGGATGTAGATGGGGCGGGGGGAACAATTAAAACAGGCTAACCATATAGTATTAATATTTTGCTTCATTTGTCAACACAGCCGAGGAACAGTATTCATAGTAAAATTATTATGCAAGCTGCTGTTGAAGTGCTTGAAGAGTTAGGTATTTTAGGACAGATGAATTCCTTGAGTGTTACATTGATGTTTCTTTTCGTAGGTGAGTAATAGCCTGACTTTTAAGCTTGTTTTGCTTGTGACTTTCTGCAGCAGCTGATGTTGCAGTAGAGCTGCTGCAGTCCTTGGAAGCTTTAACTTGGAAAGCCAGTAAATGTTTCAGCAGTCATTTTCACCTTTTGAGGTCTTGGCCTGGGATTGGTGGGGGAAAGTGTTGTAGACTGTCTCCTCCTTATGAAGAGACTTAGCTTCCTGTCAACGGAATGTTACAGTAAATGCTGCTGTAAAGATTCAGATGACTGCTCATTTCCTGAGTCATGTGGCCTGTGAAACATACCTGCCTGCACCTTACTTTGTGGGGTCCTGATTCTCTTCTGCTTTGGATCAGTAGAGCTGAGCAGTTAACTAGACCAAGACCTAGTTAAAGGCCAGGAAAATTACCAATCTTTCTTTGTCCCTTTCTTTAAAAAGAAAAAAAAAATGGTACATTTTAGATATATATATATAATGGGAGCATTCATGGGGGAAAGGAAAGTTGCTTTTTAATGGAGAACTGTAAGAATGTGTTCAAGAGTTTGATTGACTCCCCCTCCCCCTTTTAAAGCCAGGAAGGCAGTGAAGAAGGCCTGATGGCTAGTAGTTTCTCTAGCCCTCATCATTTGTCTTCTGAAAGCACACTGTGCCATGGATCACAGCATGTGTGGTAAGGGGAGTAGTGTGCCTGGGTCAGCACAAATGTCCCACCGCTGTGACAGGATCTATTAGAGGTTTCAGAATGGGTTTACTCAGGTGGAGAAAGGATAAGTGTGTGTGCCTGTGCTGTCTAGCTTAACTGTAGTACCTCTTTAAATACCTGTCTCATAGTACCAGTACATGTTTCTGTTTTAACTTCTGGGAAAGCATTTTAAGGCCAAAGCCAATATAGGAGGAACCTGATAAAGTATCAAACTCAGTATGAAAAAATAGCTTCAAATTGTAGCGAGAAAAGAAATCTTACATTATTTTTACACCTTTAGGAAGTTACTAGGAAAATGCCACAGATTCAGCTGGTAATTGAAACTGTGGTTAATAGTTTAAACATGAAGTTAGAGCAGAATTTTTAACCTAGACACCATTGACATTTTGTGGCAATTCACTGTTGGGTGGGCTGTCCTGGGCTTTATGGAAAGTTTAACATCACTTTACAAGATGCAAGTAGCACCATCTGCCTTCCTCAAAGTGTCCAAGTTATGGTAACTAGAATCCCTCCAGACAGGGCTGGATGGCTGTAGGGGACAGAATTACTCCTGACTGAACACCATTGGGTGACTAAGTAAGTCCTTATGTGTCAGCTAGTCTAATTACAAATAGAAGCCATTAAGGGAAAAAAGCTTTATTGCTTAAGCTTTAAATTTCTAGCTAATGTTATTCTTGTTTTTACAGAGCCATATAAAAATAATTGATAGACATGTAGACTGGTTGATAAGAAGGAACTTGTCCTGGCATGTAGTGACCTCTGTATGTTGCTCAGCTCTCATCTTTTTTCCCCATATGAAAATATCCCCCTCACCTCGCATGTTTTCATATTCTAACAATAGTGGATCAGTGTGTGACTCTTAAGTTTCCCCCAAAAGTTTTATATCCTCGTGATACCTACATCAGAAACATCTAAATATGCTGACAGACACTCCCTTGCTGCCCGATGTTGGAAACTTGTCCAGCTTCAATGTTAAATAGTATGAAGAGCTTATGGTTTTTTGTTTTTTTTGGTACTGGGGATCAAACTCACAACCTCACACTTTCCTGACAGGCACTTATGCTGCTGAGCCCAATCCCCTGCCCAAGCCTATGTTCTTAACAGTTCTGCTGGGGCCCCCTGCTGCCCCTGCTGGACTTCGCTGGGTTTTTTTGTTTGTTGTTTTGTTTTTGAGATGGTCTCACTGTGTAGTCCAGGCTGGCCTCCTCTTCTCACTTCAGCACAGTCTTCTCACTTCCTGATTATAGGTGTGTGCCACCATGCCTGATAGCTATTTTAGGTTTTTTTTTTTTACTGGGGGAGATGGTCTTACTGTATAGTTCAGGCTGGCCTCAAACTTGCAGGGATCCTCCGGCCTTAGCCTCCCAAGCCCACTGTTTTTTAAATATTTTTTTATTTTTTCTGAAACATCAATCTCCAGGGATTCTGTTAGTTACACAACCAAAAAGTTACTCTTGTGAGGCTTTTTGTTCAGAGATGTTCCTAAGTGGTGAAAACTCAGCCACCAAACCCATTTTTCCTTCTGTAAAATGAGAGAGTGTACACTGTAAAACGAAGTAATCCAAATACTTCAGAGTTGTAAGAATAAATGAAAGGGGAATGTGCGGTCTCTGCTACACTGCTGTTACCACCCACACTGACTGCTGCTCTGACTGGGGCGTGCATGCATACAGGGTTACCATGTGTATGACTTCACCCTTTCGAACTGTGGCTTGGGAACTGCTGTGAGCTGGCTGAGACAGCTGAAAGACCAGCAGTGGAGCAGCCTAGCCCATGCTTTCCCCTGAACAAACATGTTACAATTGCTGCCTGTTCTTTAATAAAGTGGTAGCCTTGCGTATTGATAGCTTTCAGAGGGAGTAATGTTTGCTATTTAATTTATTTGCTTCAGAATTTTATTTCAGACTGTACTAGATACAAGTTTCTGTTTTGTAGCTCAAACTGGAAGATTACAGGGATCGAGTGAAAAATGGAGAGCAACTTAATCCCGATCAGCTGGTAAGTGATTTATAGTCTTTTGTCAGACTGACTCCTGTTATTAATAAAATTCTCATGGGGTGTAGTGAAGGCAGAAACTTCATTATCCCAAAAGAAGTTAGAATGCATTTGTCTGTTACCTCATAGGTTTGGTTATTTCTGTTGCACTGGCAAATGGTATGGATGGTGGTATGGATTAAGTAGAAATGAAAATATGGACTGAGTTAACCCAAAATTCTGTAAAACTTATGTGCACTAACAAAAATATGTGTATTGAAAAAAGTTCAATTATGTTTCTGCTGGGGCAGATGGAACGGAAAGAAGTTTGAGGGAATAGTGTAAAACTGACATCTTTATACTCTGAAACCTAAAAGTGTTTACTGAAGCCTTCTCAATGTCTCCAACTGCTTCCTCTTCATTTTTATTTTTTTCTTTCTTTTTTTTTTTTTTTGCAATACTGAAGAGTGAACCTGGAGCCTCAGTTGGACTAAACCCTCTCCTTTTTTTAAAAAAATTGAGGCAAGAATGTCATTAAATTGCTTGTACTAGGCTTGAACATGTGATCCTCCTTCCAGAATACTGACATGACACACATGTACCACCACAGCTGGCTCTTCATAATTTCTTCATGGGTTTCCCCTACTTTTCTATCCTAGATTGGCATGCCCTAGCCTTAAAGAATTAACCTAACTGTGTTAGACTATTTACACTTTTTCTTTTACTTTTTTTTTTTGTCTTTTTCTTTTTTATCAGTACCAGGGATCAAACCCACAACTAACTGCCTGCTTGCAAGGCAGGCGCTTATGCCGCTGAGCTAAATTTCCAGCCCCCTTCTTTTACATTGTTTAACTTGCCCATGGTATGCTTGCTAGTGGTACCTTTAATTCCAAAGGAGAATTTTATGACATGGAATGAAAGTCAGTGTTTCATCAATATTTGCTGCTTTGACCTGACCACATTCCTAGCTAAGAAAAATAAAACCTACTTGAAAGTTATTTGATCTAACTGGGCATGATGGCACATTTCCATAATTCTAGCACTGTGGGAAGCTGAGGCAGGAGAATCACAAGTTCAAGTCCAGCTTGGGTGATTTAGTGATTCAGTGAGACTTTGTATGAGAATAATAATAGAAAAAAAGATCTGGGGTGGAGCTCAGTGTGAAAAGATTGGGTTATTTCACTATTTATTTATTTAATTCCACTTTTTGCCTTTTCCACTGTTTCTGTCTTTGGTTTTTTTTCCCTATGAAAATGTCATTTGCCAAATTTCTTAAAGTGTGAATTTTCCTGTAAATCCTGTTTAGCTGTATTAAATTTGATCATTGTATTTTAAATTTTATGAGAAATTTGATAATTTCAGTTTGATTTCCTTTAGTCCAACAGATTCTTGCAATTGAAGACAATTTTTTTTTGAGGCAAGATATTGCTATGTAGGTCAGGCTGACCTTGAACTCACGATCTTCACACATCAGTCTCTTGCATGTTGAAAATAACAGTGTTGCAGCCTTCTGCCACCACACTCAGACTCTGTTGCTTCCTTTTTCAAGTAAAAGCTGTTAAGTTGTAGCCTCTCAAGCCTGGCCTAGATATTCCTAAGACTTGATTGCTAAAATAAACCTAGATTTCTCTTTTGAAATAGTGAGGTTGTATTAGTGAAGTAGTTTTTAGAGCTTTTGTACCTTTATTAAGTTTTGATTCAGGTTTGGATTTGAAATAGAGAAGCAAAAGTCATGTGCATTTTTTAGCAGTAGGAAGTTGATTCTAGAGTCCCTTTTGTAACTGTACTATATTATAGTTTGGTTTAGGCCCGGCTTTGAAACTGAGAACCAATAGGCAAGGGACATTTGATGCCTTTGGTGCCACTGAAATTTTTGTCATTAAAGAATTAAGTTTGGTATCCATCCTTTGCTGCTAAACTCTGACCTGTGTTATATTTAAAGCATCTCCTACTAAACTCATTAAGTGATACTGGATCTTCTCTCCTTTATAGTTGCATTGCTGTTGGCCTAACCCAGGCAAACCATGCTACACATCTTCCTTGTCGATCTCCTTGTCTTGGGATCTTTGCAGTTCACTAGTCTTCATGCTTTTAGTGTCCTCTTCTAGAAACAGAAATCTTGGTACAAGCTGAGTATTTTATTTGAGATGCTCAGGACCAAAATTACTTCAAATTTTAGTCTTTTTTAAAAATAATATTTATATAATCTTAACTGGTCGAGCGTTTCTCATATGAAAAATCTGAAATCTAAAATCATCTATAATCTGAGACTTTTGACTATGATGTCATGAACTCAGTAAGTTTTAAACTTTGAATTAATTTGGGTTTCAAGTTTTTGAATTAGTGGTGTTCAACCTGTGTATGATTCCATTCAAACATTTTATATTCTGTTCTGAATCTTTAGCATAGTTGAAGCTAAGATTTATGTTTTGAACCACATTTTATTTATTCAATAAAATACATTAAGTACCTACCCCAAGAGGTACAGTGTTAGGGCAATAATATAGTGTGATGGAGGAAGAGAGGAAGTAAGCAAATATATAGGAGCTGGGGGCTTGCTCAGTGGTAGAGGGACTGTGTAGTGTGTGTAGGGCTCTGGTTTGAATCCCAGGCCTGGGAAAAAAGGAAATGAGCAGATACATACATGTTATGGCTTGTATCTATATTTTCTCCCAAATCTTCCTGTGGTTTTCAGAGCTGGGTAGTCCTAGAGTATGTGAATGTGGATTAAGTGTGTGATACTGGAATTAAATATGTAATAATTGAAGCCCCAGCCTGGATGTGGGTGGATGGTACCAATCGACAGGCTGTTAGCCTGGGTGGAATTAAGGGACAGAAAGAAGGCTTCCTTAGTGATGCCCCTGTGCCATGCTACCCTACCTTGGAGCCAGCTAGCTGTGGACTGAAACCTGTACAAGCTGTGAGCTAAATAAACCTTTCCTCCTTTAACTTTGGGTGTTGGGTAGGGTATTTTTCTAGGCCATGAGAAAAGTAAGATTTTAGTACCAGAAACGTGGGATTGTTGGTGTGATATTATTTGTCCATATGATTCAGAAGCCTTTGGAAGTGGCTCGCAGGAAGAGTTTGGAAAGGTTTGGAAATACTGGCTGAAGAAGTAACCCTTAAAATGCTGTAAGTTGAATTTGATGGGAGATTCGGGTCAGCACAGAAGACCCCGATAGTGATAGAAATGTTGCTGATAAAGACCAGGCTCAGGAGATTTTAATTAGGAACAAGAACTTCACTGGCTGTTGGGCTCCAGACCATGTGTGTTAGGGCTTAGTAGAAAATTTGTTTGTATTTTTTTCATGTCCAGACACTGCCTGAGACTGAGATTAAGGGTGGTAGACTAATTAATCTCATGGAAGAAATTTCAAGGCAGTTTTTAACTTTGAGACAGTGGCATGGCTACTGTTGGGGGGCTTTTAACCAGATCTGTGTTGAGAATCAAGAGAAAGGGTCCAACAGAATGGTTAAACGTTTTGAGTTTGGCTAGGAAGAAAGCTACAGTAAAGTTGCAGCCTGCAAAGATGGAACAAAAAACTCGTTTGTTGAAAAGATTAACAATGAAAAGGCAAGTATTTTGAGAAAGGGCATTAGAAAAGATGGACTGCGGACATCATAAGAACTACTCTTGCAGTCTCAAAATTTCAAAATTGACTTTACTCTGAGAAGAGAGAGCAGATTGTGCAGAATTGATTTCTTGGAATTGGGTTCACAAGCTCAGCAATCCAGGTACTTGACCCCTACAGCTGAGAGAGCAGCAAGCCTAGATACTGTTCCATCTGGCAGCAGACCTTGGCATCATGTAGGTGGTACTGGTTTTAGGTGCATACAGAATGCATGAGTTGTAGAATCAGAAAGGCGTCTATCTGGATTTCAGCAGGAGGCCTGGGAGGCCAGGCAGTGTACCCCTGTGAGGACAGTGTGTAAAGTTGTGAGGGTGAAGATGTAGGTACAGTGGAGACCTCAGAGGATTAGAGAAGGTAGGAACATGGATTGTTTAAGGAAATTTTGTGAAGTGAGCAAAGCCAGCCCAAGAGAGAAGCCAGGGAGCTGCCGGCACTAAGCCCTTGGGGGTTCACACCTTGCCATAATGCTAGACATGGAAATAGGGGATTTAATATTTGCCCTGCTGGATTTTGGATGTGTTTCCACTATATCCTTGCTTCTCTTATATATCCTTATCTGGAACAGGAATGTTTATGTTGTGCCATTGTATGTTTTCATTTGTACATAGGTTCCCAGCTAAGAGTTTGCCTTAAATTTCAGAGGAGACTTTGGACTTGGACTTTTCAGCAATGCTGAAACTGTTTTAGGACTTAAGCTCTTTTTTTTTTTCCTTTGGACACAGAGTCTCACCACATAGTTCAGGATGTCCTTGAACTCACTGTATATCTCAGGCTGGTTTCAAACTCATGACAGTTCTCCTGCCTGTGCCTCCTGAGTGCTGGGATTACCTGCATGCACCACCATGCCCAACTAGCAACTCTTAAGAAATGGACTTAACTGCCTTTTACATAAAGGGATGCATGCGAGTCTTTGGGGGCCAGGGACAGAATGTCATGGCTTGTGTCTAGATGTCTCCCCCCATTCCCCAAAATCTGACACTCAGAGGTGGTGATTGTTTGAGCTGGCTGGATTGGGATGTGTGAATGTGGATTAAGATTGTGGATGAGGGAAGCCCTACCTGGGTGTGGGTGGCACCAGTCAATAGGCTGGTAGCCTTGATGGAAGGCAGGCTGCTGCTGCTGCTGCTGGTGATGGTTCACTATTTTCTGCCTGCCATACCATGAACTGTTTCTCCTCCGCCATGCCCTACTCCCTTAGAGCCAGCTGGCCTGAAAGCTCTACAAACTGTGAGCTAAATAAACCTATTCTTTACCTGTGGGTGTTTTGTATTTTGTCTCAGCAATGAGAAAAGGAACTAAGACAGTATGGAATGATATTAAGGTGACAAACATGGTGAGAAGGGATGGTAGTCAGGGACCTAGCTTGTTCTACGGAGTCTTCTAAGAGGAATAGTACTTAGAGAAAAGGGACAGGAAGACGAGACAGATGTTAGTTGTATAAAGGCCCTGAGAAGAGGGTAAAGTTGGAAGTGGTTTCAGCCTGAAATAATTGAGTGGATGGCAAAAGCATTTTCTGAGCTTGGAAATGCTGGGGTTAAGGGGTTTTGGCAGGATGGGATGAACTGGGATACAGAGCTCAGTTTTCCACCACTGATTTTAAAGTCCTTATAAGATACTAGGGGTTTTGTCTAATAAATATTTAAGTATATGGCTCTGGGGCGTAAAACTGCAATGATAGTAAACCTATGGTGCAAATGCCTCAGCAGCCTACCATCATTGAAAGCTCTAAAATTTTCAGTACTGGTGTAGAGATTTATCATCTGAATGGCTACTAGTGGAGCAATTAGAAAAGACAAGTCTATTTTGGACAAGGATATAGGTAGCAGAACTGAAGTGTAGGTCAATGTAATAATGGCTAAAAATATGACTCCGAGTGCTTTATAAGAATTAAATCATTTAAAATATAACATCTATGTAGTGGGTCCTATTATGCCTGTTTTACAGCTAAAGCTGAGGTGAGAGAAGTTAACAGAAATATTGTGGTAAATAACCATCTGCAGAAGTGAAGAAAATTGGAAGTTTAATGATGGGAAAACAAATAGCTGTTTGTGAAGCAGGATGGTGGTTTTATGTTGAAGGCTGCTAAGAAGTCAAGTAGATGAGAGCATAGCTTTAAAGAGTGGAATTGACAGGGGACAGGGATTTTCCACAAGTGCCTGCTTGGCAAGTATGAGGGCATGAGTTTGATCCCTGGTACCAAAACAAAAAAATGGGGTTGACATCACTGATGGCAGCTGTAGTACTTCTGGTGGAATGGTGAAGTCTGAATCCAGGGCAATGAGGTCTGAGACTTGAAAAAAGTGGTTGGAGAGAGAATTGTAGATTTTTCTTTTTGAGGTTGGCATGATTTGTACTTTAAAATGCTGATTTAGCATCAACAGAGAGGGAGAAGCCATAAGAGAACATTAAAGGGAATCATAGACTAAGGTTCCAACCAAGATGGAATTGCATAAGACCCAGGGCACAGGTGGAAGGACTCCTCCGCAGAGGAGGGAAGCCAGTGTGTACGTTTAGGCGACAGGAAGTAGTTCCCACCTGGTGATGGTTTTCTTGGCTCAGCTAATTCCTTTTGGGAGTGGATGTATATTTCTTTCTGGTGTTATGTTCCTCTGAGGATTCCATACTGTGATTATACCGTCCGGGTTCTTGTTTCTATCGCTGGAAAGCTTGCCTATTTTTTGTGTGGTGAACTGTATGATCCAAAAAAAAGTTGCGTATAAATTGTAATGTGCTATAAGGCAAAGCAGCAGAACCCACCTTTCAGCTCAAATGATACATTGTCCATACTGTTGAAACTCCTTCCTATAACTCAGCTCCCACCCGTTGTTGTCTTGCCTCCCTTTTTTCTGGGTGTTTTAGGATTGAACTAAGGGCCTTGTGTATTCTAGGAAACTGTTCTAATTGAGCTACATCCTCAGAACTTCTTAAAATTTTTATTATGAGATAGGGTCTTGCTACACTGTCCAGGCTGGGCTGGAACTTGCAGTCTACCTACTTCAACCTCCTGAATAGCTGAGGTTACAGGTGCTTTTGGTGTAATTGTCTGAAGTCATTTTTCATCATTAGGACACAATATCGGACACCCACAACTTGACAACAGGTTTATTTTGGCTCATGATTTTGGTCCATAGTCTGCTGGCTTAAAGACAGGAGAGCAGAGGGACCTAACGTCACAGAGGCAGGAAGCTAAGAGGGAAGTGAGAAGCAGGAGGCAGGGGGAGATGCCATTCCAGGCCATACCTATGGTGGTCTGCGTCTTCTAACCAGGCCCCACCTAACAGCAAGTCAGCTAGAACCTCTTATCCAGTCACCTTTCAAAGGTTCCCTCTGGCATGTGAGGCCTTTGTAGGTTACCCAGGCTACACAGTAGCCTGGGTACTGTAGCACAGTCTACTGTAGCCACAGTATGGCTACAAAGGTTACCCTTTGTAGGTTAATAATAAGAGTTGTTAGACTCATACTGAGAGGAGATAGGGGTTCTTATCTTTCTAAACTTTTATAGAGGTTTAGTGTTAGCAGGCTTTTTTCCAGCAGCTTTATTGAGGTACAATGTACATACCATATAATAAACCCATCAGGACATATGTACAATTTAGTGATTTATGGTAAATTTTTAGTTACACCATTATCGCCACAGTCCAATTTTATTTTATTTTATTTTTGTCTTTTTCATTTTTACTGGTACCAGGGAACGAACTCACGACCGCCTGCTTACAAGGCAGGTGCTTATGCCGCTGAGCTAAATCCCCAGCCCCCCACAGTCCAAGTTTAAAACATTTCTGTTACCTTCTAAAGTTCCCTTTTTGTGCTGTGGTTTTTTCCTGTCATTATATGGTTGTCTTTTCTGGATATTTCATGACAAAATAGTCTTTTGGTTTGTTTTTTTTTTTTAAATGGTACTGGGAGTTGAATCTAGGGTCTTCACACTGAGCTACATCCCTAGCCCTTTATGCTTTTTTATTGAGACAGAGCTTCACTGAGTTGCCCATACTGGGCTTAAATTTGGGATCCTCCTGTCTCCACCCCCAAGAGTCCTGCGGTTATGTGTGTGTATCATCACACCTAGCTGCTTCTGACCTCTTGAGGTCAGAAGGTCTTGAGCTTTGTCCATGTTACATTCTGTATCACTATTTCATTTATTTTCATTGTGTCTCATATTCCATGTGGGGACATATTTGTTAGCTGGATATTTGGATTCTTTTCACTTTGGATTGTTCTGAGTTATCCTTCTATATAAATTCTCATACACACCTGTACATAAATGTATGTTTTCATGTCTTCAGGTGATACCTGGGAAATATTATGCTGCTTAGTTATTGAAGCTTCATAGATCTTTATGTAGTTGAGCAAGAACCCTGCCTTGTTCTGTTTCAATAAAATTTGAGTTAAATTCCAGTGAACCACCTGTGCCTTCTCTAATTATCAGTTTTGTTCACTGTAAAACTTTAAAAAAGCTTTTTAGATTTCCTGTAGGGCATTGCTTGTTATTTCAGTTAAAATGTCTACTATGGATAATTTTTTTTGATGGATGACACCCTTATTTTTTAGACATAAAAGCTAATAAAAAGTCATGTTTCCTGTTAAAATCCAACATTTCAATTAAAAAATGTTTTTAATCCCATTATAAATGTCTCAGTTGCTTGTTCATCTGTGTGGTATTTATTGTACTGCTTGTTTTATAGATGCATTTGAGTGGTGAATAAATATTGATAGAATGATTCCATTGTCTTACTGCATTTAAAATGTACTGGCCTCTGAGCTTAAACTTTATAGATAGGGCAAAATTTTGGCTTAGATTTCTAATATAAAAATTGCATCTCTAGCCTGGAATGGTGGCAAATATCTGTAATCCCAGCACTCAGGAAGCTGAGGCAGGAACAGCACCATGAGTCTGAGGCCAACCTGGGCTGTATAGTGAGACACAAAAACAAATAAACAAATGAATTTCTAGGATTAAAGTTGAAATTTTACAGCTGTACTGATAGTTTTGCTCTTATGTTTTTTTTAGGTAAGTACTTTTGTTTGTATATAGAGCAAATGTAGTTGATAAACTTTGGAATTTGTCCTATATTTAGGAAACACTTACTTTGACTTGGTTTTCTTACCGTATTTGGTAGGAAGCAGTAGAGAAGTATGAAGAAGTGCTACATAATTTGGAATTTGCCAAGGAGCTTCAGAAAACCTTTTCTGGACTGAGCCAAGATGTGAGTGTGTTTTGTTTTTTATAAAACCAGTTTAATCACTGACCTTGAGAAAATGTCATCTATCTTCTCTAAGTATCTTACTGGGGATGGGAGATTGAGGATAGCTAAGTCTTCAGATTTGTGGAGTCTGAAGGGAAATGCTATCCAAATAGATATCTACATAAGGTGTCAGTTATCTGACCTGTTATTTCATTGTGGAATTGTGGCAATTTTATTGTTACCGATGATCTCCTATTCCTGGTTGTAACTCAAGTCACATTTATTAAGTTGCTTCTGTTGTACCTAGAATGATATTAAGTATGCCACAGGGAATATTTTTCCTGAGGTTTTTACCCCCAAACCTGTCTAAATCCATTAGGATTTAGGAATATCTCTAAAGTTAAGAGTTTCAAATGTTGATACCATTACTATAACACATCTATAGAAAAAAATCAAGTTTTTAATTTTGTTATTCTTTTAATCTTCAAATGTTGGAAAATATACAGTATAATGGAAATACTACAATGAAAAAAACTTAAGTGGAAGTCTGTTAGGTAAGTGTTAACAGATGTACCTTTTGGATAATGGCAAACCATTCTGGATGTGTATATTATTAGATTTTAAAGTAATATAGTTCTCAGCTTTGGAGTAGGCCCAGGGTCTTCTACAAATTATTACACAGAGATTATGCACACACATTATTTGAGGAGAAATTTGAGTTCCATTAATCATAAAATAATCTTTTATGTCAGGCCCTGGGTCTACCTCAGAGTCAAAGACACAAAAACCAAAACCTTGAAAACTCCTTTAACACATTTGTGATAGGGCCGATATCTGTACGTCTTGCTGCCAGTTGGCCCTGAACCACTGCCGGCACGTGCGTGACTGTTCTATCGGGTGGCACAGGACAGTCTTGGTTGGTTGGTAGAACTGCCCAATGGGTCAGTCATGCATGTAACACCTGTGGTTCAAGCTGGCAGGAATGAGTTAAGGAAATGTTTGCTGTGGTTGTTTGTTTGGTACGAATTGAGTATAGTTTATTCAAAGTACTTTGGGCCAAAAGTGTTTCAGATTTCCCTTTGGATTTTGGAATAATTGCATATACATGATGTGATACTTTAAGCATGGGACCCAAGTCTTAATGTGAAATTCATTAGCTAGCAAGTAATTTTGTACATTATTTTTGGGGTATCTGCATTTTCATTGTGACCTGTCACATAAGGTCATGCATGAGATTTTTTCCATTTGTGATATTATGTTGATGCTCAATACATTTCAGATTTGGGAGCATTTTAGATTTTGAATTCTTGAATTAGGGATGCTCAACCTGTATTAATATTTGCAAGATATTTTATTTTTATTAGGTTTTCAATTCCTTATGCCTTAGTCATCATCTTTGGTTATTTGCAAACTGACCATTTTAGTTTAAATATTTTCTTCTTGGGAAAAAAACCTACACTTAAAGCATTGTCTTAAAATATGTGTTCTAAAAAGACTTGATATACTTAATGAGGAAAAATAAAATCTTGAGGTGGGTATGGACATCACTGATTGGTCCTTTGCTTCTCACAGAACATGGTAAGTTGGAGGTACTGACTGTATAGTGTATAGCTTGGAGTTGGGAGTCAGATATTTGGACTCCCTTCCCTCTAGTGACTTGAGACCACTTGGTTCAATACTCAGCAATTTCTTTCTTTCTTTCTTTTTTTAATCGGTACTGGGGATCGAATTCATGACCACCTGCTTGCAAGGCAGGTGCTTATGCCGCTGAGCTAAATCCCCAGCCCCTTAGCGATTTCTTTAGGTGGAAAAGGAGCTATGGACCACACAAGCTGGTCAGTTGGACAGTCATGAGATTTATCTTCTAATCTCAGCTATTTGGTATTACATTTTGTAACATGAATTGCTGATGTAGGTATGGAGAGTTTCAACCTACATTTGTTTTAACAGCTACTGAAAGCGCAGAAAAAGGCCCAGAGGAGGGAACACATGCTAAAACTTGAGGCTGAGAAGAAAAAGCTTCGAACTATACTTCAAGTTCAGTATGTATTACAGAACGTGACACAGGAACATGTACAAAAAGACTTCAGAGGGGGCTTGAATGGTGCGGTGTATTTGCCTTCAAAAGAACTTGACTACCTCATTAAATTTTCAAAATTGACCTGCCCTGAAAGAAATGAAAGTCTGAGGTAAGCTAATGGAAAGGTTTTTTTGAAGTGGAACACACAGCACTTTACTTTATTCTAGCCATGTGTATATATACATAAATGTATACATACACATATACATACACAATATATGTGTGTGTGTGTATAAACTAAAACATTGATTTGATTCTATAGTGGATGCTCTAATGGATTTAATAGATTGCCCAGAAAGAAAGTGAATTCAAATGAAAACATATTGCCTTATTATAGCACTAATTTTAAAAATACTGATCATCAAAATATTTTTAACCCTATACAAGTATTAACTGTAATATAATTATATTGCTAAAACTTTTTTTGTTATGTCTTTGCCTTCTTATTTCTGCTGCACTTAAGTAGAGATAGATAAAATTCAGTTTGGTCAGTATTAAACTTTTAAAGTGAGAATTATTTGTTATTATCCTCTCAATACTTAGATGCTGATTTTAAATACAAAGCCATCTAATAGTTTTTCCTATAGTGAGCCACTTATGTATTTTTGTTAACTGAGTGATTAAGTAAACAAATATGGTAAGTCTTTATATTTTTGCTAGGTTAAAGACAGATTGTTCCAACTTTGTGTTTATTAGCCATATTAAAGCAAGTCAGATATATTACAAGTTGGCTTCAGCCAGCTGTGGTAGTGCATACCTGTAATTCCAGGATGCTGGAGGCTGAAAGAGGAGGATTGCAAGTTCATAGCCAAGCTGGGCTATGTAATGAGTTCAAGGTCAGCCTGGACTGCATAGTAAGATGCTATGTCAACTTCTCCCATCCCCTCCTGCAGCCCCCCCAAAAGAAATTTGTCTTTTATAGAAGCCTAATAAAAACTGAATTGCCCACGGGTAGCTGTATATTCCCACGTTAATAGTGTACTCCATCATGCGTCTTCCTTCTCACTTTGGTGTGTTCAGGAAACACAGCTAGCTTGAATATGTCAAATGTCAACAAAAGATAATTGAAAAAGTAAGCTGCTGTCTTTAAAGTTCAATGCAGTTCTTAAAGTTTCCATTTGTACTTTTGTTTCCTCTAGGATAGAAACTCGATAACTAAGAAATGAATACTGCATTAGCAGCTCTACATTCTTGGTCTATTCTTGATAATTATATTTGGTGAAATGTTTAATTATTTTATTTTATTTTTTTTTTGTCTTTTTCATTTTTATCAGTACCGGGGATCGAACTCACGACCGCCTGCTTGCAAGGCAGTTGCTTATGCCGCTGAGCTAAATCCCCAGCCCCGAAATGTTTAATTATTTTAAGGAAAAATTCTTACTTGATGAAATCCAGAGATGAACATTTCGTTGCCTCTTACAAATGTGGGTTTTTTAGTTCCAAAGAGTGAAAGCGGGGAAGGTGGACGCATGGGTGCTTTGACTGTTATTGGATTGAATTGCATACATTGTGCTGCTCCCTGTGTGCATATGTACTTCTAAAGCCACTTTGTTCTGCTGCTGCTTTTCCTTGTCAGTGTTGAAGACCAGATGGAGCAGTCATCCTTGTACTTTTGGGACCTTTTGGAAGGTAGTGAGAAAGCAGTGGTAGGAACGACATGTGAGTTTTTTCTACTCTGGACTTATGCAGTATTACTAAACTTTATGTCTGGAAGTTTAGTATGCCATTGAGGGTCTACACTGTGTTGGTCCATCAGAACTTACATGTCTGACAATGCCACATTCATCGGGAGGCATCCCTTTGTTTAGTGCTGTCCAAAGCAGCTATTACATAGACCTACTGACTAAAATGAAGTTAAGGGAGAAATTTGAAGGGGCAAGTCAATATGATTGGGAACAAGAGCTGGCTTCAACACTAGCTTGATCATTTTGGGGTTCGATTCTCCATTCTGAATGTTAGTACCTTTTCTAGTTAAGAATTTTAAATTCATGCATTGTTAATATTAAAGCTTATTTAACAGCTCAGCATAAGAAAATGTGAATGGTTTGGCTTATTTATTGAAGCATTGTTGTTTGATCTGAAAATGATGTAGAGAGAGTTCTTTTTGCTTCCTAAATAAACTGTTTGTCAAATCACCCAAATACAAGTATGCAAACAAGAGGTATGTAGCTTTGTGTACTAGCTTAGGATTATCAAAACTCTTTCGTTATTTAGTGGCATCCCTTTTAGAAAATATCCAAGTGTGTGGAATGACCAAGATTTTAATTCCAAGCTTAAATCACAATTAAAATGTATTCTTAGTCAGGCACTGTGGCATGCATCTGTAGTCTCAGTTGCTCAGGAGGCCTAGGCAGGAGAATTGCCTGAGCCTTGAGCCCAGGGATTCGAAACCACCATAGGCAATACAATGATTTTTGTCTCAACATTTTTTTTCTTCATTAGCCTATTAAAGGATACTAACAGTTTGGAAAGTAAAGCCAGGTGAAAAGGCATGCGTTACTGCTACTTGAGAGGCTAAGGCAGGAGAATTGTGAGTTTGAAGCCTGCGTGTTTCTTTTTTCTTTTTTTTTTTTTAATTTTATTTAAAAGGAAAAAGAGAAAAAACAAAGTGCTGTAAGGGTACAAGCAACACAGAACTAAATTAGCAAATAAAGCATAAATTTACTATGCCACCAAGCAGTCATACTCCTGGTCCCTAAGAGATACTAAAATAGAAGTTCACATTGGTTCTGAAGAATGAATTGTCCATGCCAGTTTTATTTTAACTGTCCTGTTTGATCACAGCCTAGATGCAGATCAACTGATAATAAATAAAATTTGGAATAGCCATACCATGAAATCTGCTTGGCAATAAAAAAGATAAATTATCCATACATGAAATGGATCTCAAGATGATTATGCTCAGTGAAGGAAGCCAGAAAATAAATGTACATATTGTATGATTTCCTTTTTATGTAAAATTCTAATAACATAACTAGGTTGATAGGTTCTTGGTTATTGAGAGGATCAGGGAGGGAATTAATTGCAAAAGGGGCATGAAGGAAATTTGTGGATTGATGAAAATGTTTTATATCTAGGTTCTGGTAGTGGCAATATGAGTATTGTTAAAACTGTAAACATTGTGAATTTTATGCTTGTAAGTTATATCTCAAAGCTAATTTAAGAAAAAAAAAAGACCAAATCTTTATCAGTATTCCTGTGAATAAACCCAAATCAGATATGAGAGCTCTGCTTACTTTGGGAATTATGTTTTAATTGGCTCTTTACAGTGAAATAGTGTTTGGATTTATTTGTAATGTAGCAATTTTGACATCACTTTAAGGTTTTTCTTCATCTAATAGTGATGTGCTCAGGTGACATACAGCATAACTCTTAAGAGTAAAATTTTAATCAAGAACTTTAGAAATAGTTTAAAAATCATTAAAAATACTGATTATGATTGAGGAACGATCTTTCACTTCACCAAATCCTCAGCTAGTGGGGGACACAGAGTAGGTGGTAGGTATAATGTGTGGGACAGATGGGGATGTGAACACTGGTGTGGGTAGAGTTTTGAGTAGGACTTCGATGTTTAGCCATTTTTTACATGGTGTGAATAGAGACCCGGGGAAACTTAACTTGCCAAACTCTGATACCGTATTCTTTCAAGTTCATATTGATTGAGTATAAAATAAGGATAGTCTGCTTGTTTACTTTTCCCAGTATTGTCCAATTCTGAATCTCCCCAATTGTATTAACATACTCTAGCATAAAATTAGTATTCCTTTGCCTGTAATGTGACAGCTTCATCTTAATTGTTCTTTCTTAGATAAGCACATGAAAGATCTGCTGTCTAAACTTCTAAACTCAGGCTATTTTGAGAGTATCCCAGTTCCCAAAACTGCTAAGGAAAAGGAGATGTCCTTGGAAGAAGAAATGCTAATACGATCAGAAATGAAAAAACAATTAGTAAAGACTGAATCTATCAAAGAGTCAGGTTTGTAATCTCTGAAGTTTTTTGTGGTTGCATTTTAAACAATCATTTTGAAATTGTTGCTTTATTGTAATATGTTAGATTCTATACTTATGGTTATCTTGGTGCAGGATAAACATAGCTTTAGAAAACATCTTTAGCTTTTATTGCCATGACTTACAGAGTGAACAGTAATAGCAACAGAGGGTTATATTTTAGTTTTAAAATGAAGCATTTATGGAATTTGAGTGAACCTCTACTTTAGCAGTAAGATAATTCAATTTAAAATTGTGGTTTAAATGTAAGGTATAGTAGAAAATAGTGTAGTAAAATGAGAATAAAGTTAGAATACTGATACAGGAAAAATTAGCAGAATTTGGGGAGGAAATACATTTCTCAAGTGATCATTTTCTTAGGAAAGAAATATCTTTTAAGTTTTGCCTGTTTCTTGAAATTGCGTTTATGGTAAACAAGGCAGGGTTCTGGTGTCTACCAGCAAGTGTCTTGTCATTTCCCAAGTTTATTGCCCCTTGGGTCTACTATAGGTTCAGGGCTTTAGTGTCTCCTCACTTACCCTCCCTCCTGACCCTAGACTGATCTAGAAAGCCCCCATTCTAAGCTGAGGTGACTCATTGCTACCCCACAAGACCTGACCTATAATTCCAACTTTAATAAAGGAGCTGTATTTACTCTGATTTTCAATAAAAGATACACTGGTGGCTTAAACGTGACTTGACTAGAATATCTTCTTTCCTAGAAGGTAGGAAAGCTCCTACCTTCAATTTGTCTCAAGCCACATGCTTTTTCTCCCCCACTTTTGGGTACTGGAATTAAACCCACGGCTGACTGTATGCTAGGCAAATGCTCTACCATTGAGCTACAACTTTAGCTCTGCAGATGCTCTGGGCCAATAAGAAGTAGTTTGAATTAGTCCTACTGTGAATATACTTTATTATTGTATTACTGTTTTTTTTCTGTTGCTCTGAAATATGCTGCTGAAATATGTAATACAAATTACAGTTGTAATCAAGTAAAATCATATTTACTCTAGTGATTATTTAATCTTTTTCAGAGACTCTTACAGAACTTGCACAGCCAGAGATACAACCACAGGAGGTAAGAGTGAAAGATCATTCACTGATCCTGTGTTTTCAGACTTTTGAGTAGTGCTGTGGTTAGGGTGTGACAACCTGAACTTGAATCCTGGCCCTGCGGCTTATTAGCTTAGTGACTAGGGGCAGGATTGTTAGCCCATATGTGTCTGTTTTCCTTGTAAATAATGTGAGGATTATAATAATAATGCCTGCCCTTGGGTTATTGTGAGGATTAATGGAGTTAATCTGAGATACTGAGAACTTGGCCTGGCCCACAATAATTGTCCCAGAGTTAGCCACTGTTGTTTTGGCACCCGTGTTAGAATATAAAAACGTGCAGAGTTTTGTGCTCTCTAGAATTGACTCATTGTATCCCCAAAAAGGGTATTTGTTCTCTTTTAGAAATGGCATTAAATTTGTGGAAGCTCAAAAGAATGGGAAAAGGAAAAACAATATAGTTGCTATGAGGGAATGAGAAGGCTAGTCATTCAGTAAACTGTGCTTACTAAGCATCTATGCTTTCCTTTATGTTTGCTAAGTAGTATACTTTCCTCTAGTTAGCTGTCCTCTGCTTTATTTTTTTTTTATAATTTTATTTAAGGAGAAAAAAAAGCAGAGAAAGGGTACAAGTTATACAGATTTACAGAAAAAAAATTAAACAGTTGTCCTCTGCTTTAACTTGTAAGAGAGTTGGCAGGGTGTAGGTACCTTAAGGCTGGCAAAGGCAGAATAACCTGTGTAAAAGGGATTAAATCAAGTAGTTGTGTGCAGTTCTTGCTGGTCTTAAGTGAATCAGACATAAATTGCTGCTTTGGAAGTATCAACGTTCTGTTTCAGTTAACTGAAGAAAAGGAATGGACAAAGAAGTAAGTAGGCCAGTCTTTCCAAGTAGGGTAAGGGCAGAAGTTTCATGGCAGTGCAGTGGTTTAAACCAGTGGATATAGGATTACTAACAGTTGAAACTGAGAGTTGAACATTACTTTCAAAGACTTCTACAAATTTTATGATGCAAGCATGTTATTTCTTTTAGTTTCTTAACAGACGCTATATGACAGAAGTAGATTGTTCAAACAAACAAGACAAAGAGAAGACTTGGGAAACAGATTATGTTAGGAAATCAAATCTTTCCAAATGTTGGGATATGCTTAGTGAATCCAATGGTCAAGAGAAGAAACAGGAATCTTTCAAGTCCTGGGAGTCTCCCATTAAGCAGCAGGAGGTATCGAAGTCTGCAGTTTCCTTAGAACAGAGGAAACAAGAGATTCCAAAACTCAGGTCAACTTTGCAGGAGGAGCAAAAGCAACAGGAGAGTTCCAAACCCAAGCCACCTCCTAGCCAGTGGAAGCAGGAAACTCCTAAATCCAAAGAGGAGCAGAAGAAGCAGGAGACACCAAAGCCTTGGCCCGCTCAACTGCAGAAAGAACAGGATCCTTTAAAGAAGCCCACGCAGAAGTCCTGGGCCCCTGTGCAGGGTGAGCAGCATGGCAGCAAGCCGTGGTCCACTCCCACGTGTGAGGATCAGGATTCCAAGCAGCCGGCCACCTCAGAGTCCTGGAGCCACAGTGCTGAGAGTCAGAAGCCCTCAGCACCACAGTCTCAGATTTCTCCCAAGTCCTGGGGAGCGCCTGCAGCAAGCCTCATTGCAGACGAGCAGCTGCTACCCAGGAAGCTTAACACAGAGCCCAAAGATGTAAGTAGATCCTGTGTCTGCTTTGCCATAGTAACTTAAGAGTAGCTTTTTAGTTCTCTTTAAAGAAATAAAATCCATATGAAATTAAAGTGTTATGTCTGGTAGCCCGGGATCCAGGGGCTGTCTATCCAGTGTTGAGAGAGGAAGAAGAGTCAGGGAACACCAGTGTGAAGCAGAAGTGATTTATTGTAGGTGTTGCAAGAAGAGCACTGTTTGCAGCCACTGCAGTGGGAAGGGGCTCAGCTGGGCACTGCCAGTGCAGGCCTTTCATAGGATTGGGTCCCATCCCATTGATCCCTTCCTCTTACTTTTTTTAGAAAATCCCTCTTTGATTTGTTACTTAGAAAAGTGCTTACAATGTGAAACTACTGAAGGTTTTAAGAAGTTTCTAACTGCAGGCTGTCAGCTTGGCTGCTTGCTGAGATGCAGACACTAGTTTCTTTTTCTCTTAAAGGGCCCACCTTTTTAGGATAAGTCTAAAAGGGTCCACACTGTCCTACAAAAGTGCTACACATTTTTTTTTTTTTCTCTTGGGATTGAGCCCGTGTCCTGGGCACTAAGCTACATCTCAGTCCTTTGATTTTTTTTTCTGTAAGTTTTGAGGCATGGTCTTGCCGGGTCACCCATTCTGGGCTTGAATTTGGAATCTGTAAATATAAGGTGAGGGCTGTTATTGGCATGGAGGTTTAATGTGGAAAGCAGAGGAGCAGTGAGGATCAGATTCGGAATGTGTTTTACTTCTCTCAGGTTATGCAGTGCAGTGGGCTCTCCCTGACAGGTAAGAGTCTTTCCTCAGCTGAGTGTAGGTGTCTTACACATAAGTGTGTGCTGGAAAGGAGTTCCACCATAGTTTTGCACACCAAGGGGTAGAAAAGGGTGAAGAGAAGGGAGCAGGTGGATGGTTTCCAGGAGGGCAGAAGTCAGGGTTGTGGTTCATCTCATCACTCACACAGTAAAGACATGCGTTAGAACCTAACTTGAAAGTTGCATACCAAAATTTAATGATACAGTACGTTATCCAAATGGCCAGTTCAGACAAGACCGTTCTGTGAACAGGTGAGCACTGTGAACGCTTGAAAGACAGGTGACTTATGGCAGTGTATGTTTCACTTGGTGTCACCTCTAGGCTCATAGGTGACTTTTGCTGGCAGAAGTTACTTTTTTTTTTTTTTTTTTTTTTTTTGTAATTTACTTGTTGCTACTCAGATTAGTTTGTACTTTTACAAAGGATGGTTGCAGATATTCCAGTGTTAGGGAACTATTTGAATTTGTTCTTTATTTCAATCTAGGAGAATTTGGCATTAAGTATTTTGTAGTTAGGTTTTTTTTTTCCTTTTTATCGGTACCGGGGATCGAACTCACGACCGCCTGCTTGCAAGGCAGGTGCTTATGCCGCTGAGCTAAATCCCCAGCCCCCTGTAGTTAGGTTTTGAAGTGTATGAGGTTTAGTTTAAAAAATAAGACCTTTTATGTTAATGACTGTTTTAGGAAGCTGTGGCTTATAATGAATAATCTTTGTATACAATGCCACACAAGTTTTGCCTATTATTAAGTTATACATGACTTGTTTACCACCATAATGCAGATACGTTGCTAAGAAGTCTGCTGAGCAATGTGAGCATCTCCCCTGGTGTTCTCTGCCTCTGTGCAGCTTCTTTGTTCTTGGGTGCCATTTTATCCAAAGGCTTTCTGAAAGTAAGTCTTTGGTCCTTCAAAAACATGAGAAATCATTTTTTCTTGGGGAAAGCAAAGCATTTCATAAAGTACCTGTAACTCAGTTCCACCTTGTGGAGAGACAATTTTAGTGTTGCGTTCTTTGGTCTTGTTACCCTGTCTCTTGAGTGCTATGGTATTATCATCTTCCTAGTCCTCTGCTAGGTTGATAGCTTGATTTCACTAACCAGATATCAGACAACAGTAGTTGTAGTTTGATAGCAGTTTGGAGAAACTTATACAGTAGTTAAAAAATCTAACTTAGTACCTCCATAAGGCTGTTTTTAAAAAAACTTGATTTGAAATTCTCCATATATCAGTTGTGAACCTTTACTATATCAGAGTATTGAGAACCTCTTATTTGTTAAATGGGATTTAAAACCAGGGATGCTTAGTTAGAAAAAATCTAATAAGCTCATATTGAAATCAGCTCGATACTGTGGGATCTTTCAGTAACAGAGCAGACAAGTGTTTGTAAAATGCAGTTTGTCAATCTGTTTTCTAGCTCAGCTATCTTGAATGTGACTTAAGTATAGGCCAGGTGGAGCTCAAAGCCAAGACTAGATGATATAAAATTAATCGCTACTGTTCCAGCTTTTCTTTCCCAGAGGACCCCTGCTTTATTTCCTTAAGATCTATTAACTTACTAGTACCTTTGATAAGTTTAACTGGTTGAGTTCACAGTGAATTAGAAGGCTGAGAAGTTATAGTGAAGGCAGACATACTGACAGTTCTAAAAAGTAACTGTAGGGGGCTGGAGATTTAGCTCAGTGGCATAAGAACCTACCTTGCAAGCAGGCGGTCGTGAGTTCAATCCCTGGTACCAGAAAAAAAAAAAAAGTAACTGTAAACTGAGTGCAGTGGCACACATCTGTAATCCTAGTACTCTAAGAGGTTGTCATGAGATTCAAAAGTTTAAGCCCAACTGCGACAACTTAGCGACTAGTCAGACTCTGTAAATGATTGAATGAGGGCTATAGCTCAGTGACACAGTGGCTGCCTGGCAAGTGCAAAGTCATGAGTCTGATTCTGAATATCAGAAAACAAAACAAAACAAAAATGAGTGAATAAATGGTTTGGGGTGAAACTTAGTGTAAAGTCTGGGTTTAGATCCCAGTATTGAGAAAAAACAAAAGAAGTAACTATAAAATGTTAATTAGTTATAATTCAAAATATGGAGAACTTTTTAGCAATTTAGCATGAGAGCTAACCACCTCATAAACATCAGTAGCCTCAAGAGTTTAACTTTTTTAATAAAATATAATGTATTTCCTCAATTCTAAGAGATGTACATGTGTATATAAAACATTATTTTGTAGTGCTTCTGAGGTCAGATATATCCTAAAATTAGGAGGTATGTTTAATGTGATAGCAATTTTCTCCCTGGGGGGAGAATTAAATATTTGTTCTGTGTCATGGTCAGTGGTATCTTATCACAGAGGATAGTAATTCCTGCATTGTGAACCTTCCCTTTAAAAAGAGACTGTTTTTAACATTTTTCAAAAGAAATGAGAAACTTTTTAAAATTTGCTTAAATTATTTAGAAATCCATTTATGTGGAAAATCTTCGTCCGTAATAAATGGGATCAGTGAGCATTGTTATTTGATTTGAGACGTGATGGTATCCTGAGTTTTCTTAGTCAAGCTGTTGACTTTTCAGTCATACCCTTACACATGTTGGGTTTGTCTTACAGGTGCCTAAGCCCGTGCCTCAGCCTCTAGGCTCTTCCTCTGCCCTTCCAAAGGATCCAGTACTGCGAAAAGAAAAACTGCAGGATCTGATGACCCAGATTCAAGGAACTTGTAATTTTATGCAAGTATGAACCATTAAAAAAAGAATCTTGGGGCTGGGGATTTAGCTCAGCGGCATAAGTGCCTGCCTTGCAAGCAGGCAGTCTTGAGTTCGATCCCCGGTACCGATAAAAAGGAAAAAGACCAAAAAAAAAAAGAATCTTAAAAATGATGCTCACAAGCCGACACCTTGTGATTGGAAGCATTAGAGGGAAACTACTGAAAGTGGATCCCCTGTTCAGAAGCAGTGCAAGTCCTGGCTCTGCCAGCCCTTTATGGGTGCATACACTGTCACACTCTGCCCTTTTTCTTGGTAAAATGACAATTAACAGCCCTGCTTCCTTAGTTTGTTCTGAGTAAGGAGATGAGTTATACATATAAAAGCTGTGGTGTTCAAGTGGTCTCTGCTTCACTTTGGAAGGAGTCCCCTTAGACCAGGGGACTGACTCCATGCTTGACTGTGTCATGGTGCAGAAAAATGATAGTCATTTGCTGCCTTCAGGGAATTTATATTCGAGCTGTAGGAGATTGTAAATGTACTAAACTAAACACTCAATTGTGTGATATAGACTCTTAGAGAATTTCAGAATAGTGTGATATTATTGAGGGTTGAAGTTCAGATAAGGTAGTTTTGCTTAACAGAAAGATTATAAGCTAAAGATTTTGGCGTAGGTTTAAATCCCAGTCCTACCAGTTATCACCTTATATAACCTGCAGCAAGTGATTTGACCTCTAGCCATGGGCTTACTTGCAAAATGAAGGAAGCATCTGCTACTTCAGATTCTTTGAAGATAAAGAACTGCAGTGTTCTTTGCAAGTATGTAGCTTATATGTGCAAAATGGAGGAGATTTTTCTGAGAAATGAGATACAGATAGAATAGAGACATTATGAAAAGGTCTAATAGCTTGGACTAGTGAGTGGTTGAGATAAAGTAATGATACCCTCTCATTGGTTGGGTATAATAAAAGTTAACATTCAGACTAGAGTAGGACTAATGTTTATGCTTAAGACTGTAGAAGAGAAGTGTTTTTCCTAAATTAGGCCTTAGAATTGCTTTTACATTTGACACATCTAAAGGTTTGGCAGTTGTTCTGTTTGTTTGCTTATTTATGCAACGTTAGAAATCACCCATGCACAGGCCAAGCAAGTGCTTGACATCTCCAGCTGTTGAGCTGCATCTCCAGGTTTGACAGCAACTTGATAGTTTATTTTTGACTTTTAAAAAAGTTTAAATTTTTAATTATTTATTTTTGACTCAATTTCTTTTTCTATAAACTTTTTAAAAGCATCTTTACATAGATATTAGCTAGATGGTATACTTCTAACATAATAGGCTATGGCCAGGACTGTGAATAATTTGAATGTAATAATTTTTAAATGAGTATTGTGATCCTTGGTCTATTCATTATTAAAACTTTTGTTTTTAGGAATCTGTTCTGGATTTTGACAAACCTTCAAGTGCAATTCCATCATCACAGCCGCCTTCAGCTTCTTCAGGTAGCCCAGTAGGTATGTGATCTTCTAAAAACTTAGAGCAAACAGCTTTAGAACAGTTGTTTCTTTCACAAGTCATTTATTCTGTGTAGCTTAGGGGTTGAACTACATATGTTTCTGTTAATCTAATTGTACCTGTCAGCCATCAGAGTTACAGATGGATATGTTACTTTTAAGACTTCATTGTACTTAATGACTTGTTTGAGATTTTGGAGAAAGTCTCTAGATAGGTGAATGAAAATGTACAGTATTTTTATGATTTTTTAATATTCTTGAAATAATTTCTGTCTAGATCTTGCTTGACTCCTTTGGACTCCAAACTAGTGTTAAGTCTTTGGGACCCTAACTGAATAAGATTTAACACAGTAACTAGCAATGGAGCGTAGATTTGATCCAGTCTGATGCTTCCAGGCTCGGGCTCAGGCTCAGGCTCAGGCTCTTTGCTCCATGCTGGTTTCTGTCAGGCAAGAGTGACACAGCCAAAGCCGCAGCCCGCTGTAGTGTACAACATACAGAAGTGCAAGGCTGGCGCAGTGCTCCTGGGTGAGAATCAATAGAGAGGAAGTAACTGAAGTGATGGACATTAACAAGAACCCAGGCTGGAAGCCTTGTGATTGAAAAACACATTAATATGTACCACCAGATAGAAAAATCTAGATAGTTTACTTTGTAACTTGTGAAACTTGTATATTGGTTAATTTCTACTCATGATAACTTAGGTTTTATATTCTAGACTACTGCTCCCAGTTTTTTTCTTTTTTTTTTTTTTTGGTACCAGGGATTGAACCATGACCTGGCAGGCGCTTGTACTCCTGAGCTAAACCTCTGTCCCTTACTCCCAGTTATTTTTAAAAGTCATAATTCTTTACTTTTGGAAGCCTTGAAATTCTGTTTTACCCATTTAAATTTAAAGTGTCATGTATTACAGATAAATTTAGTATTTCTGATTTTGTGAACTTCAGTCTTTTAAGTCCTTTTTGGAAGTGCATGTTAGACTTCTTGCTGGTGGTTTTTATGTAAAGTGTAAGATGCAGTTTTTTTTTCCTAGTTGATGTGCATGAACTTTTCTCTATCCTCCATAATGCTTGGTTAATTTCAGTTTCTGCAGTATCTACAGAGCAAAATCTGACCAGTCAAAGTGATTTTCTTCAAGAGCCATTACAGGTAACTTTTCCAGATTAATCTTTTAGGCTTTTCTGTGTTATTCAGAGAAGGACTTCTTACTTTGGCAAGAAGGATCAGACTGATTCTAAGTTATCTAAATTATTTAAAATGTTCTAGGGTTTTAGATTAAACACAACTTAAAAGATTCTCCAGTGACTGCTGAAAGCATCAATTATGATAGAGGTTAGCTGATTCTAGTACGGACAGAGCAAGCCTGAAGAATTCAGAGGCACATTGTCTTGAGCATTTTGCTTTGCTACTGAGCTGCATAAATCACTTAGTATTGTTTGTCAGTATTGTAAAAGATCTGAAGGAAGAAACTAATTGTTTCTAGTCTGTGGTTAACCAGTTCTATATTCTGAATACTTAACATTTTGAAGAACTAATTTTCACAAAGTAAATTTAGAAATTAAAGAGATAGCCAAGTATGCATGCCTGTATTCCAGCACCGTGGGAGACTGAGGGAGGAGGATCACAAATTCTAGCCCAGCCTGGGCAACTTAGTGTCTTAGCAAGACCCTATTTCCAAAAAAGAGCTGGGGTTGTAGCTCAGTGTGCAGGCTCTGGATTCAGTCCCCAGTTCTGCAGAACAAAAAGGGATCAGGGTATTGATATGTCTGAATGCCACGTTGCGTTTCCTTTAATGGTAGCTCAAGCTGCACTGGCTTTCTGGTGATTACTTTAAAAAAAAATTTCCTTGGTGTCCCTCTGACAAGTTTCTTGACTGCTTCTTTGACAGGAGTTAAATATTTTGATTGGTTGGTTCAGCAATTGTAATCTTTCCAAAAACATGAGTATATGTAATTGTTTATAGTGGTTTATGTGTAGTTGGACAAATAGTGGCACAGTGTCTAAGTGGTATTTTCCAGTAGGGTGTGTCAGTGGGGTTCTGCTGTGTCCTCCACTAGCACTGTTTCACTGGAGGAGTTCCTTTTTATCTGCTTTAGCTGTTGGGTTTCATTTAGAAAATGAATACATATGTAAAGAATAGAGAATGTGTGTTTTTATCTTTTCTTTTGTTGCTAAGTGTTATTCTGGGGTGATACTGAGAATCAAACCCTAGGCCTTGCATATGCTAAGGAGACTTCACCCCTAAGCTACATACCAGCCCCTCAAAGTGACCTGTTAGTAAAATTTAAAGTCTGTTAAAGATCAAGTGTCCGGTGGCCCAAAGAACTGCAATTTTGCACCTCTGGCTTTTCCCTTGTTAGTATAGTTACGACCCTTCAACATCCAGTCCTGTTTATTTTGTGCACATGTCTCAGGTTTTAACAAGAAGTCAGAAGAAGGGCATGTTTTTAGAAACATTCCAGTCTCATAATAGCTGTAAATTTTTGGTCGAATCAAGGTTATGGTTATTTAGGTATATTAGAGGTTCTAAATAATTGAAGTTTTTCTTCCCATAAGCTCTTTCTTAAGCTTGGTCCTCATCTTCCTTTTGAAGCAGTAGGTAGTGTGAAGCCCTTGAAAAGGCTGTGGGTATATAGCCTCTGCTGTTTGGTTACTACTTTAGTTTTAGTGCACCTGTTATATTGCTTGAACTTCTGGAAACTGCACAGATAAAAGGGTTGATTAAAAAGGTTGGAATCACAGTCACTGTAGACTGTTGTTGCTTGAGTTTTAAGTCGTATGTGGTATTTTAGGGTCTGTTATGCCACAGGTTCCTCCCTGTGGCTCTTGGAGCTTCACTGGGCTCAGTTGTCATAGCCTTAGTGTCTATGCTCTTAATTTTTACTTCATACATTCTCTCAACTTTTAAGTTTTCACTAGAATTTGGAGCCATACGGTTTTAGGTAGAGTGTACCCTGTTTACTCTGAACAGTGAGGCTCGTGGAGAAATGAGGTTGTGATGACCTTGCAAAGCTGTGCCTGCAGGACCGACGTGCCCTGGGCTCACCTCAGCGACTGTGTGAGGATGCTGCTTTGGGAGCCTGGCCTCTGGTGAAGGCTGGGTGAGAAGGGTAGCAGTGTAACAGACTGTTGAGACTTCACTCCTTAGTTTTAGTGTGACCTTGGGCAAATTGACTTCTCTTTGTGTGATTGTCAATAAGATAGAGATGATTGTATGTACCAAGCAGGCGCACTGTGAAGTACTTGACATTAAAGAATGCTAGTAAGAGGATCATGAGAAAGCTTAGGCCCAAGGAAGGCAAAGTGAACAAAATGTGCCTTTCACAATATTTTATATTTTCCTGCATTTAGGCTGCTTCTTCTCCAGCTACTTGCAACTCAAATGCTTGCTTGGTTTCTACTGATCAAGCTTCACCAGGATCTGAAACAGAATTTATAACCTCTGAGACTCCTGAGGTAATAAAAAAACCTCAATTGTCTTGATTTCTTTTCTGTTTCAAAGAATAGAAGAATCAGCTTACCTTACAGATTATAAGCATGATTAGTTGAATGATAATAACTTTTTAAATTAATGCATTACTTTTAATTTTTCTTGGCCATATAAGTAGATTTATTAGTGTTTTGCTTTACCTACTGCAATAAACATGTTAATGTTTGACATAAAAAGTGAAAAGTTTCACATAGGATTAGCTCATGTTTCTCACCATGTTTACAATGAAAAAGTACTTAGAAAAATTTCATATTTGTGTAAAGATAATTTTTATAGTATTGATATTAGGACTGACCTAGTTAAAATGATCCAGTTCCTTTTTAGGTTTTGTTTTCAGTTTTCAATTAACAATTTTTGTTATTGAGCAAATCCTTAAGACAGACTCAGTATGATAGGAGGAATTTTGTGGTGCAATTTAACAACTATTAGGTTTTATTTTGGACAGAACTATTATACATAGAAGATACATCCTTCATTATAGGATATAAAACTCAATATACATAAGCATTTTTATTGTGCTAATTTGGTCTAAATTGAGAGAATTTGTTTTCTCATTTTCAAAAACAGAAAGTGATAGCACAGTTGCCTTCTTCATATTTGATTTGGATTGATTTTGAGATCTTTTGAAGACTTTACTGTTATATTCTGTTATGACAAAACTTGCCGTTCTCTTAGATAAGGGTTACTTAAGTTAGATAAATGTTAGTTTTCATCCTTACACAGTTGATTTAGAAATACACTAGTAAGTATTTAAAATAGAGAAAAATTAATATTTACTAAGGAACTAATGCAAGATTTTTCTTAACCCAATCCCACTGTGTGAATCTGGAATATTACTGAATTCTTAACTGTGAAATCACTTTCCAGTATTTGAAAAAACCTCAGTGCACATAAAAAGTTTAGCTCCTCATTTGTTAGACTGATTATTAGTAAGACTCTTTCAATTAGTCAGCAAGCTGTGCACAGCAAATACTAGTGTGCATCCTCAGCAATTGAGATTGGGAATTGTAAGCAAAGCTATTCTCTTGCATTCCTGTGTCCAGTGTCATCCTAAAGAACTTGCTGACTTATGCCAGTGTGGGGTTTAGTGTAAGTTAACTGCTTGTTATATGGCAGGTGATTGCTGATGCTGCATTTCTCCTCTCCAGGCAGCAGTTCCCCCAAGCAAGCCACCGTCTTCACTAACTTCTCCAAATCCTCCGATGTCAAAGGGCTCTGAACAGGGCTTCCAGTCGCCGCCTGCAAGCAGTAGTTCAGTGACCATGAACACAGCACCCTTTCAAGCCATGCAGACAGTGAGTATGAAAGGTGGGAATAATGACCGTAGTTCATTATTCCACTTAAGAGTTGTTGCTTCAGCCGGGAGTGGTGGTGCACTCCTATAAATCTCAACACTCAGGAGGGTGAGGCAGGAGGATAGCTGCAAGTTCAAGAACAGCCTGGGCTACAAAGTGAGCTCAAGGCCAGCTGAACTGCATTGGGAGACCCTGTCTCAAAAAGACCCCCCCCCCCCAAAAAAAAAAGAGTTGTTTTTCTCTTGCATCTACAATTGGTACTTTATGACAAGTTTCCCTTTTAGATTACACTTACATATGAAGGCTGGTAGAATTTACTTTGGTCCATTGGAAATATTGTAATAGATGAATATTAAACTTAGAGGCTAGAGCCCTTAGAATTTCTAGTGAGTGTTTTTCTCGGAGCATTGTTCACCATCTGCACTATTTTCAGAACTGAGGACTCATATTAAACAGGTGAAATGTGTGGGTGATTTTTTTTTTAAATTTTATTTAAGGAGAAAAAAAAAAAGCAGAAAAAGGGTACAAGGGTACAAGAATTTCAGAAAGAATAAACAGTAAGAAATCACTAGTTAGTAGATTACATATTATTATCTTAGAGATAGTAGTTCAAGTTACAAAATTAAAGCATATTAAGTGGACTTTCAAACAGTGAGACCACAAACAATTTTTTTCGATGATCCAACAAAACTCAGTAATATGGTTATCTATCTTATACACTTAAATATATGTGCAGTTATATCCTTTAGAGCACTTTCTTTTCCTTTCTTTTGTACAATGACAATTACACATTTTGGGTTTTATTACTCCCACAGTTCTTATTACTTTTTTTTGAAGAGAGTAAAACCAAATGTGACATAACAGAACAGAGTCAGTCAAATCAAAAGGATGGACATAATAGATAATGTAAAAACAAAATACAGGGTGATCAACAATGGTTACCATACTGCCTCTTGCTATCTTAAAAAGAATTGCTTACATCATCAGTTATAATAAAATTGAGCAAAACAGTAAAGAATAAAACCAAAACATTGGAGACAGTACCGGACTTTAAAAGAAGATAATAGTCAACCAGAATGGGCGTCATAATGAATCTTATTGTCTTCAGTGTGTGGGTGATTTAATCCCCAGCAACACCTCCTTCTCAGAGGAATATGTGGGTGAGCTTGATAATACTGATTATTTACTAATAGTACACTAGAAAATTCCCTAAGATCAGTACCTGGAAATGTAGGGCACACACTTGGTTGGGTCTTGATCTTATGCAGGTTCTTGAAGATTTGTTCATGTTTTTGTGCGGTATTTTGAATTATGTATTCTTCTACAAATTGTAGTTTAAAATGTTTTTGAAAATATAACATTGTAGTTAGATTCGTATGTTTATTTTCAAAACATGGACTAGCAAGAGAAAGTCCTTCTTGTGGGGGAGCCTCTTAGTGTGCTGGTAAGTACCTTTCATGATGATGCTTTGGAGGCACGAGAAGCAGCATGGTGCAGGGAGATGAGCCCGTGGACTCAGACATTGAGGTCACTGACCTTATGTGGTGCTTGACCAATTCAGATGCCTTTTCTCTTCCTGATAGTCCATCCCATGCTGTATTCCATATTGGATTTATTGGCTTTTTCTTGTGCCTCAGTAAAAGCAAACAGTGGTCCTGTGTCAGACCCAATACCTTTTGAAGTCCTGTGTCACTTGCCAGACAATTCCCTGGGTTTGCCTCACATATCTTGTTCAGGGTTTACCTTCTACTCGTGCTTTCCTGTCTTCTCTGCCTGTTTGAAGGCTATTTAGTTCATTTTGATCCTCATTCATTCATTTATTAAAGAAGTAGTTATGAAACCAGCCATTACTTTTAATCACTGTGGTTGTAGTAAGAAAAAAATGAAATGTCTTTATGCTCAAGAAACTTGTGTATCATTAAGGAGCTGAGAGGGCTAGTGAGACATACACTGTATCAGATGCCATGTGCTGTTTGGAAGAATGGAGTAGGAGCAGAGAGCTAGAGAGCAATAGAAGTGTCCCTTTATAAATGATGGCTATGATCTGTGAGGTTACTTCCTCTGTGTGGTAAAAATTCAGTAAATGGCACAAACCATGCAGGACCCAAGAAGAGAGAAGCCAGTTTGCTCTTCCTGTGAGTCAGCAGAAACCATGCTGGGTCTGGGAGGAGTACAGGAAGCCAAGTTGTTCTTCCCGAAGCCAACCCCACATGGGCTAAGAATCAAGAAGCACCTCCTGCCCACCCGTATCTCCCCCACCCCCACCCCCTTTCAGAGGACAGGCTGAGTTGATAGCAACTGAAGTACAAAAACAACTAAATGCTTGTATTGTTTGATTAACTTTGCAGGCCTAAGGCCGGTAGTCTGAGCATCTGTTAGGAAAACAGTGTGCAATATAGCAAATATGGGGGATTTCCAATATTGTTCTCACTGTTTTATTTTGTTCTGGTTTATTGTTTTGTTTTACTTAATGTTCTGTTTTGATTGGTTGTATTCTGTTTTGTTTTATTTGATTTTAGTATGTCTGATGGTACGGAAAACTGTGGTAAAGATGACAAAGATACATTGTGGTAGCCATTATTGATTTCCTGTTATCCTGCTTTGAAGTCCTGTACTACTTTCACTGTTTTGTTATGATTGACTTTATTCTGTTTCATTAGGTTTTATTCTCTTTAAATAAAAAAAAATCAGTAAATGATTAATTTCACTTATTTTTAATTTCAAAAAAGAATTATTTTCTCTGATAGCTTTTATTCTTTGGTGTCATTTCTGTAGAGAATCAAATGGAATTTTTGTTTCTTCTTGGGGTGAAATGTACACAACATAAAATTTACCATTTAACCACTCAGAATGTGAGTCAGCGGCAGTGAGTGTGTTCACAGTGTTGTCCAGCCATCTGCACTACTGTCAGAACTTTTTCCTGATACCAAGGAGAGTACTGTGCTCATAAAATAATTCCCTATTTCTTCCTCTCCACAGCCCATCTCCACTTTCTGTCTATGAATTTACCTATTCTAGGTCCCTCATCCATGTGAAATTATGCAATACTTGCTTTTTTGATCTGATTTGTTTCACTTAGCACATTTTTGCGGATTAGTGGTATGTGTCAGTTTCGTTTCTTGTGGATAATATTTCTTTTTATGTGTATACCTCATTTTGTTTTTGATTTCTTTGTTGAGGAATACTTGGGTTGTTTCTGTTATCTATTATGAATCATGTTGCTGTGTATACAAACTATTCATGTCTGTGCTTCAGTTATTTTGGCTATGTACCTGGAAGTAAAATCCATGTATCATCTAGTAATTTATGTTTAACTTTTGGAGGAGTTGTGAGATTGTTTCCTACAATGGTGTGCCATCGTGCATTTCAGTGCACAAGAGATCCAGTTTCTCCACATCTTTGCTACCTAGTATTTTCTGTCTTTGAGAATACTCATCCTAGGCCAGGGATATAGCTCAGGCACAAGGTCATGAGCTCGATCCTTGGTACCAAAACAAACAAACCAAAAGAGACAGTACCCATTCTACTGGGTATGAAGTGCTAACTTACTGAGGTTGGGATGTGTATTGTCTGAATGAGTAGTGAGATTGAGCCTGTTTTTGCATACTTACTATTTATCTTTGGAGAAATGTCTCTTGAAACTTTTGCACATCAAATAAGAGTTGTGGAATACTATACATTTCTTCTGGATAGTTCCCCTGGATGTTTCCTATGAACGTTGGCAAATGCCTGAGTGTACCCTTCTCTTTCAAGGTATTTAATGTTAATGCACCGCTGCCTCCACCAAAAGAACAAGAATTAAAGGAATCCCCTTACTCGTCTGGTTACAATCAGAGTTTTACTACAGCAAGTACACAGACACCACCCCAGTGCCAACTGCCAGCTATACATGTAGAACAAACTGTCTTATCTCAAGAGACTGGTAAGGTTTTTGCAAACTTAAATAGCAGCTAAGTCTATAGTGACACCTTCTAAGTTCATTTTGACTAGTAAACATTATTTCTTCACATGTTCCAAAAAGTATTGAGAAGAACCTAATGTCTACCCCCTATTTAATAAAGTTGGCCTTTTAACTTTGGCTTTTGTAGAGGTAGAATTTAGATAGCTTGATTTAATCTTGTTGACTATATTTGTTAATCTCATTGTTTTGATTATTCTAGATAGGTGAGGTTGATAGGGAACTGTGTGGCCGCTTTTGTGAAGGTTTTGAAACCATTTTGTGCCTTTCTGCAGAAGATTATCTGGCAATTTTTGCCTTTTTTCATATAAAACATTTATTAATATTGAAGGTACAATGTAATATCTTTTTTCTTGTAGAGACAAGAGACTCATGCTATAAATTATGAAGAATAGGCACCTTACTTAATGTCTTAATTTAAAAAGCACTTTTGGATTTTTGGTGTCAGTATTGTAGCCTCATACTAAGTTTTCTAAAACTTTAGCCTGAAACATGAACTGAGCATTCTAGGTGCTTTTTAATCAGATTATGATGAGACAGTGAATGTGAGTGCCTGGCTTTAGCCACAGAGGACTTCATTCTGCTCTCACCTGTAGTGTCGAAATGTAGAGCAGAGGATTTACAGTGAAGGATCTGATTGTCATATGCCTTCTCAGATAGGCTTTCTGTTAGGATTCATTTCATTTGACTTCCAGATCTGGATTATTTAGCCTGTTATTAAAATTGTGGTAAAATACACGTGACATAAAAGACTATTGGAACTGTTTATACGCATACAGTTCTGTGACATTAACTATACCCCAAGCGTTTGCAGCTTTCTCCAGAATTTTTTTATTTTTCCCAGCTAGGATTTCTATCTATTTAATACTAATCCCCTCTTCTCTGTTTAGCCCTAGCAACCACCATTTCACTTTATGATCATGAATTTAACTGCTCTGTAAGTTGCATCATGTGTTTGTCCTCCTAGAAATTTCCTATTTCACTTAGCATAATGTCTTCAAGGTACCTTTGCATTATGGCATATGTCCAAATTTCCTCTCTTTATATGGAATAATATTCTATTTCAAATATAGACATGTAAATATTTTTTAAAAGGGAGCAATATGTTACAGGTTTTGGTGTATATTGATTATTGAATATGAAGAGTATTGGATTTTTATTACAATTTAACTTTTGGACTCTAAAATGTTTCCTTAAGCTGCAAATTATCATCCCGATGGAACTATTCAAGTAAGCAATGGTAGCCTTGCCTTTTACCCAGCACAGACGAATGTATTTCCTAGACCCACTCAGCCATTTGTCACCAGCCGGGGATCTGTGCGAGGCTGTGCTCGTGGCGGGAGGTTACTCACCAATTCCTATCGGTCCCCTGGTGGTTACAAAGGTATGGTGTGATTGACTTTTTTTTCCCCCTGAATTGACTTTTAGTTTTACAGAACTATTTTGTCTGTAAATGTCCCTGACTGCAACCATTTTTATGTTCCTTTGTTCCTTTTGTCATACTTATACTAGAGACTTCTTTATTTTTATTCGTAGAATATTTTTCAATATACCTTTTCTCTATAACAAAAGTAACTTTTTTAAACTATAAAAAGCATATTCTATGCCTTACTGAAGTAGAAAGACTGATCATCTGATTTTTTTAAGGGGTGAATTTTGGTTTACACATTTAAATAATTTTTCTTTTGTTAATTGACTTTGTTAAAATGTCACAATAGACAAACTAGTTATTAATGTAACGGATTATACTACAGGAAAGAACAGTGAATTTGAGACTAGAATAACAAAAAACTTTTTAGTTATGATTGCACATTTTCCGGTCATTGCTTGGTAGTAGCAGAAATGCTACCTAAGCAGAGGCTTCCACCCTGTGCCCAGCCACCCTATCCAGCCCACCAGCCCACCGTATTCTAGGAGCAGTGGCTCTCTACACCTGGCTGACTGTGTGAAGTCAGCCATGTTTCCTAAGTATGTATTTCACTGTGGAGGCAATTTTAGTATCCTTAAGGTATAAATCTAACAATAGCATTATAGAGTCAGTTTAACTTGTAAAGCTGTATCATTTATTATGCTATTGCCCATCATTTTATGTAAGTTGTTTGTTTATTAGGTTTTGATACTTATAGAGGACCTCCTTCCATTTCTAATGGAAATTATAACCAACTGCAGTTCCAAGCTAGAGAATACCCTGGAGCACCTTATTCCCAAAGGGTAAGAATAGTTATCATAGGTGAATAGTGGTATAGTTGTTGATGTTAAGCTGGTGTTTAAACTATAAAAGGGTCATTATTTTGTAGACATGCGCTCTGTTTTAGAACTACTAATAAGTCCCGTGGAGGGGTAAGTTGGAAGTTTTTCCACTTACCCAAGGGGGATAAATGTCAACTGCTGGTAATACGGGATTGAAAAGGTGTTAAGGTTTTTATTTATCATACTGTTTATATCAACTTCTCTACCTTCTGAGAGACACTGGGGTTCAGTGGTTATATAACGTATCTAAGGTCACTCAACAAGTGAATAGTAGAACTAAGATTGGAATATGTGTTTCTTAGCTCTAACTTATGACTTTGACTTTACTATCTTGCCTTCAGCTTAGTGTGCCTAACTATTGACTGTATCAAAGTTGGTACTGGGAATCAAACTCATGGCTTTGCATTTGCCCAGCAGGCACTTACGCTGCTGAGCTAAACTCCGGGGCCCTTTAAAAAACATTTTTACAGTAGTTTATTCTGCTTTGAATGACTCAGCAGATTTTCCTCACTGCATATGATAAAAAAACGTACAGGACGTTAGGTAGTCCACTTTATTTTTATATATATTTTGAGACAAGGTCTCGCTGTGTAGTTCAAGCTGGCCTTGCACTCACCATGTAACACGGACTGGCCTTGGACTTGCAGTGATCCACTGCCTCTGGTGGGATTACAGGCATACAACACCGTGCCCAGCTAGACATTCCACTTTAACAAACTGTGGCAATCTCTGTCATTGCTTGTATTCTCAACTTTGGAGCTTTATATAAGCTTTTGAATATGTATAGATGACCCATACATATCATAGTTTGACTTAATAGTGTTTTTCACCCTGTAGAAGTGTGAGAGTAGTATGCACGCATTGGGAACCTTATTCAGATTTTGAATTTTGATTTTTCTGTGTTCTTAATGTGATGTGATACTCTGCAATATTCTGCAGTGATCCTGTCATCCATGTGGGCGTGAGGATGCCTCTATACTGTAGTGTACTGTGTTGCTCAGCTGCAGTGTGCAGAAGGTTAAGCGTATTAAATCCATTTTGACTTAGGTATTTTCATTTTATGACGGGTTTATGAGAACATTCCAGTTGTAAGCTGAAGTGCATCTGTGCGTGGTATCATAGTGGGCTAGGGTGTAAGCTGCAGCACCTGAAGCTGAAGCACCTGTACTTTAAGTGGTGACAGCTGTATGAGGCAGGATAGACATCTGTATGGGGGCAATATCAAAAAGAACTGAACACCTTGGAATTTAAGTGACTTGACTTTGACCCCTGGTTTTACTGCTTCTCTTGCCTCGTGTGACCTTGGTTACGTACTTTAATTTGTTGGACTCTAGTTCCTCATCTGTGTGGTGTCGAATTACGGGAGATACTGTGAGGCTTTCTCCATGAGGTGCTGTGAGAATTAATGAACTAATACATGTAAGCGCCTGCCCGGCAATTGCTAGGTCATGAGTTTAATCCTCGATACCAAAAAGAAAAAAAAAATGCTTAGCACCATAGTGTATCAAGCATGCAGACAGCAGCTGTTAGTAGAATCTCTGGAGCTGTGTGTGAATGGAGGGTATTGATTAATACAGATGTAAGTAATGAAGCTATGTGTTCTTAATAGTATTCCAGTATTTCTGTGTTATGCTTTAAATTTCTTTGAGGAAACATAAATTTCAACCTGGGCAACTTATGACATAGATCCTGTCTCAAAAATAGATGTGATGATGATGATGATGGAGGAAAGATCTGGAAATGTGGCTCAGTGCAAATGCAATAGATTTGATCATCACAACCAGAAAAAAGAAAGGAAAAAAAGGGAAAGGAAATGAAAAGAACAATTGATGATAACAGTTGGTGCTGAGAAGAATGAGAATTTGGAGTAGGGATTTTATTATTCATAACTTCTTGCCCTGTTTTTTCATAGATTGCATAGGAGACTGATCTCCTTCATACCTAGGAGTCAGTTGGAAGTCTTGCTCCCAACCCTATATTTGTAATGTTTTGGATCATATTTTCAGGCACTAAGTACATTTACACAATATAATCTTTTCAGTTCCACTATCCAAAAACAAAAATACAAAAATGACCCCTCCACTCCATCATAGTTTGTATTAGCCTTCACAGTTAGATTTATAAATTGCACAGCAATGAAGAAGCCTGTGTTCTTTTCTTGCTTTAGTGTGTCCTTTTATATTGAGGTGAGAGGCAAAGGGCCGGCTGCACTTCTGCATTTCCATCATTAGCTAGTAGTGTAAGTTGTATTTGGTGCCCTCTTACTGCTTTACCATTTTGTGTTGGTCTAGCTAATGAATACATGAAGCAGTATTGCCACTGTTACCCTTGATTTGTTTCTCCTGGTATTTGGGAACAGCTGAGCCTCTTATACACTTACCAGTCAATAATCCTATGTAATAATTACTGTTTTGGGGCTGGGGATTAGCTCAGTGGCACAAGCGCCTGTCGTGAGTTTGATACCAAACCAAAAACAGACAAACAAATAATTATTGTTTTGCAGTTTTGGTGCTAAAGTGAATATTCATGTGTTTGTTTTAGGATAATTTCCAGCAGTGCTATAAACGAGGAGGGACACCTGGGGGTCCCCGGGCAAATTCAAGAGGTAAGGAGTGTTAAGTGTTATTTACCCAACACATACTTGTAGTTCATTCTGCACTCTTTTAACTTACCCCCAAAGTACAGTGCTTTCAGCGTTTATCTTGAGGTTTTTCAGTTTGTTTAGGAGTACTACTAAAGGAGATCCCAGACTACTAGAAAGATTATGGAAGCCAAGTGTCAATTTAAAGTGTGTGTTTTTAAAAAACACCAGAGCATGATTTGACGTTAGATATATATTCACTGGGCTGACTTCATAGAGATTCATGTTATGTTTCAAGATGGTGGTTTTATAGTAATATGGTAATGGGTACTTCTGGGTCAGTACACTGATATATTTAAGTAAGTAATGTTTAAGACACAGTGACGAGGCTGAGAAAGGGGGATCACTGTGAGTTTGAGGCCAGTCTGGGCTACATAGTGAGTTCAAGGCCAAACTGTACTACATTTGGGGGAAAAAAAACAAAGACAATGACTTGAAGCAAAAGCAATATACTGAATAATACTTTTAAAAATGTAAACCAACTATTAAAAGATGTAGTGTAACTGAAAAATAAATTAATGATGATAACTAGTTTTGTCATAGGAAAACAGTTTTCACTTTGAGAAAGTAGGCAGTATCACAATGCCTTTAATTACATTTGGTCAATGTTTTGGTCTTATACTTAAGGCATTAACTTTTTTATGGACCTTGACATTTTTTAGTTAGGTGTGGTGCTGCACCCAGCTGAAATTGTTTGCTCCCTTCATTTGGAAATAAGCATATGCTGGCATGGTGGGGCACACCTGCAATCTTGCGCTCAGGAGGCTGAGGCAGGAGGGTTGCTGTGAATTTGAAGGCAGCATAGGCTGCATAGTGAGTTTAAGACCTGCCTGAATTACAGAGCGAGACCCTGCCTCATTGTCATTCCCTGCCCCAATAAATAAATAAATAAGCAAGCAAGCAAACAAGCATCCGTCCATCCTCCATCATGGTGCTTAGGACCATATCAGAACATCTTTGAATACCAGCCAGAAGTTCTTTTTTTTTTTTTTTAACTTTCCTTTTGCTCTTCTTCCTCTTGTTCCCCTCTCGGTTTTGACATTTCTTCCTGTTTCACAATGTCTATTATACATTTTGGTCCTCATTTACAACACTTTTGGTTTCTCATACCAGAGAAATAATGTGGTATTTACACATGTGTATCTGATTTATTTTACTTAAGAGTATTAGCCAGTAACTCTAAAAGTTTCTTTTAATAATACAAGTTTTCTGAAGTCTTTTTGTAGTAGCTACTTTGAGTAGAACAGTGATTACGGAGCAGTTAGCTGACTGAGAATTACGGTTAAGATAAAAAGTAAAAATTGTCCAATTTGGATTTTAGTTTTTGCTTATCTTAACTGGTTTGTGGTAAGTTATCCAACTTTTATTAGACACATTTCTTAATCTTAAAAAAAGGCATTAGACAAAATTATCTAGGTCCCTTCTGACTTTAGACAGTATTATCAAAATGAATTACCAGAAAAATCTAGAAAAGTGTAACTTAGTTGCATTTATTGCCTTTGTTGTGGAATATACTATAAAACATGTCTTTGTCTGTGTTTCAGTAGCCGACTAATGTTAAATATTGTGTTCAAAGCTAACTGCTTCATTATGAGAAACTCACTGTTGCTAATAAAACAGCAGGGTGGAGTGATTCTTCTCAGGTGAGCAGCCCTGAAAGAGACAACGAAACCTTCAACAGTGGTGACTCTGGTCAAGGAGACTCCCGTAGCATGACACCTGTGGATGTGCCAGTGACAAACCCCGCAGCCACCCTACTGCCAGTACACGTCTATCCCCTGCCTCAGCAGATGCGAGTTGCCTTCTCAGCAGCCAGAACCTCGAACCTGGCCCCTGGAACCTTAGACCAGCCCATCGTGTTTGATCTTCTTCTGAACAACTTGGGAGAGACGTTTGATCTTCAGCTTGGTAGATTCAGTTGCCCGGTGAATGGCACTTACGTTTTCATTTTCCACATGCTAAAGCTGGCAGTGAATGTGCCGCTGTACGTCAACCTCATGAAGAATGAGGAGGTCTTGGTGTCAGCCTATGCCAATGATGGTGCTCCAGACCATGAAACTGCTAGCAATCATGCAGTTCTTCAGCTCTTCCAGGGAGACCAGATATGGTTACGTCTTCACAGGGGAGCAATTTATGGGAGCAGTTGGAAATATTCTACATTTTCAGGCTATCTTCTTTATCAAGATTGAAAGTCAGTGCAAAGTTGACAGTAAAAGGATGGTGATCAAATTAATGGGACTGAAGGAAAAGTAGTTCTTGACCTGGTGACTGATGGCTTAAGAAAATACATTCTTTCTAGAGGAGGAGGAGGTCCTCACTTTTTTGTTTTCCTCCCCAGGTGAAAATTTTCAAGTTGAATGACAATTAGCACTAATCTGGCACTTTATAAATTGTGATGTAGCCTCGCTAGTCAAGCTGTGAATGTATATTGTTTGCACTTAATCCTTTACTGTATTGATGTTCAGCTTACTAAACTAACTGCCTCAAGTTCAGGCAAGTTATAATGCCTTGTTGTGCCTCAATAAAAAAAGTTACCTGCACCTTCATTTGTTCCCATTTGATTGAACATTTAGTTGAGGGGTAATATGCCAAAGTTTTAGAATTTATTAATGATAACTCTTGAATAGTTACTTATTCATGAGTTCATGCTATTACTTTAAGAAGAGTTTTATATGTTATGGTGCCTTCTAGGTTACTTTTCTCTGACGCATCTTACTAGTTACAAGACTTGCTTTCCATGAGCCAAATTGCACATTGTCCTTGAGGCAGCTCTCCTTTTTGCAGGCCATATGCTTCCTTTAGTTAGCTCTCTTTGGGTACCTACTGCATGTACACTAATACAAGGTACAGTAGGAGATACACAGGAAATACTCTGATCCACTGTCAGGAAGTCTTGTGCTTTCTCGTGTATCCTTGATTTAATTTCAGGAAGTCATCAGAATACAAGTTTTTGTGGTCAGGCAGTTCTGTTGAGCCTCTATTGCTACTTTGTAAACTGACCTTGGATAAAGAAGTCGTAAGATCTATCTTTTTCAGTTATTCTTTTCTTTTTTTTTTTGGTACCAGGGGTCAAACTCACAATCTTGCACTGCCAGGCAGGTGCTTATACCACTGAGTTAAATCTTCAGGCCTTCAGTTATTCTTAAAAACTTTCCCCACATATAAATGCGGGGTGGTCTAGACCAAACTCATGGGGGTAGTTACGAAATTCAGCCAAGAACATATCTGAAAGATTTACCGTCACATATACATTTACTAGATACCTGGGTTTCAGCGTCTTTCCTCACTGGGAAAACTGTTGGATTCTTTGTGTACTGTCCTCCGCAGGACAGTAGGCACCACTGGAGGATAGCATTACTGTGGATATAAGCTCTTGTCAGACTGCATGTTTTCAGCCTACATACCTTTCTCAGCTTTAATAACTTCATAAATATTTTATGCCTCGGATACTTGAAGAAATTGTCTGAAGAGACATTTTGTTGCAGTTTTAAGGATTTTATTAAGGACTGGAGGGTGCTCTTAGCCACCAGATGCCTGGAAAAGGCAGAGACTTTGGTGCTCCCCTCAGTGTGAGGCACTTGTTACTCTCAAGAAGGTGGCATAAAAGTTCTGTTATGTGTGAAAGTTAATGTTTCTGAGCTAGGTATAGGTTCACCAGCCATGTTTAACTTGCTAGATAAAGGATTGGGTGTGGGTCACTATTTAAGAGAACTTCTTCAGCTCATGGTAAGTAGATAGTTCGTGGATTAGGGGCATTAGTGTTCCACTTAAATTAGTGATGGCTTGGCTTTTATGTACAGAGCACAAAGTATACTGAAAATCAATAATTTGATTAAATTATTTAAGGCAAAACTTGGTGTTTAAGAACAGTTGATCATTGGGGCTGGGGATTTAGCTCAGCGGCATAAGCGCCTGCCTTGCAAGCAGGCAGTTGTGAGTTTGATCCCTGGTACCGATAAAAAGGAAAAAGAAAAGAAAAAAACAAAACAGTTGATCATCAAGTCTAGCCAGTATTTTTCTACTGCTTTAACACATTCACCATGAGGCCGTAATTCCTGTCTCACTGTTGGATGGCTTGCATCACTGGTGGTTCTGGCCAACATGAATGCATTCATGACTCAGCCTTTTTCTAAGTGGCTTCTTCCCATGTCTAGAAATTGTAAGCCACTGAATAGTATCTAAAATGATTGTGAGTAAATGCAAATAGTTAAAACAGGAAGTTTGAGAGGTTTTCTCACTTGTCCCTTCTGCCAATTACCTGTTAATTCCCCCTTACACTTTAAAAACTTGTATTGTCTGTTGATCCCAGGGCCTTGTATAAGCTACCAGTGAGCTGTAGCCCCAGGTGTTTGGTTTCTTTGTTTATCGAAGTCTGTTTCTGTGGTTGGCCTCAAACTTGAATGCTCCTGCCTCAGACTCTCAAGTAGTTGTGATTGTGTGTTCCATCATTCCTAGCTCAATCATCCCATTTTAAAAAGTTTTTCAACCTTGTAACATCTGTATTTTCACAATCCTTCGCTGATTGAATGTTTACAAATTTAACTCCTTAGCTTTAATGATCTGATGTTCTGTTATGATCATTGTCATAATTAGGATATTTTACACAGTTTAGAAGGTGAAATAATTGTTGACATATAGAAAGTATTTTCATATGAATTCTCCCCTCAACTGACAAATGCTAAACAATTTTGATGAAACATTTTAGTTCTTTCTAGGTCTTCTACTTAACTACTGCATCTATCTTGGAGTTATTTGTTATGTTTTAGCACATATTGTTCAGAATAATGAGATTTGTGATGGTATATTGGTACATGCATATAACATTTTGATTACTTTCATTACCGTTATCCTGCTTGTCTTCCCCCATTCCCTTAGTTCCCTTCCCTGCCACTAGAAGAATATTTTCTCATTTTCTGTCCTCTCTTTGTTTTGTATTTATTCATTTCTAGATTTTTTTTTTTTACATAAGAGAAAGTATGCAATTTTTAGCTTTTTGGGGCTGGTTTCTTTTGTTTAACAGTGATCTCTAGTTCTATCCATTTTCCTGTGGATAACAAGATTTCATTCTTCAGTATGAATGAATGCTCTGTTCTCCATATGTCACACTTTATCTATTCATCTGATGAGGGGCATGTAGGTTCTTCCCACAGCTCAGCTATTGTGCATTGTGGGTATGCATAGATCACTGTAACATACTGTCTTTAATTCTTCCAGGAATATAACAGGAAGTGGCATGTCTGGATCAAATGATACATTTTTCTTGAGCTTTTTTGAGAAATTGCATGCTGATTTCTATGGTAGTTGTACTAGGTTATATTCCTATCAACAGTGTAAAAGAATTTCCCTTTTGCCCTCGTCCTTGTTAAAGTTGTTCTTTTTTTTCAGTTGTTTTGTATTTATGGTAGCCATTCTGACTGGAGTGAAGTGGAATATCAATGTAATTACATTCACGTTTCCTTAATGACTAAGAATGTTTAACATTTTTTTTCATATAGAGTATTTGTTTTGAGAATTCGGTTTACTTCATTTGCTCATTTATTACTTGTATATTCTAGATATTAATCCTCTATCAGAAGAGTAGCTAGCAAAGATATTTTTTCCATTTTGAGACTGTCCCTTCACTCTGTTGTTTCTTTTGCTGTGCAGAAGTTTTAATTTGATGTAGCTCTGTTTGTTGACTCTTAATTTGCTGTGCTACTAGAGTCCTGTTCAGGCAGTTTTTGCCTGTGCCTGTGGCTTCACGTGGTGTTTCTCGTTTCTCCTAGAGTTGCACAGTTTTCCAGTTACAGCAGTGTTCGATACATTTTGATCTGATTTTAGTGAGGGTAACAGGTAAAGATCTAGTTTCAGTCTTTTGCGTGTGGAAATCCATTTTCCCAGCACTCTTTGTTAAAGAGGCTGAGTCTTCTGCAGTGTATGTATTTGGGTTCTTTGTCAAAACTCAGATAGTTGTAGTTAACGTGGGGTTTTTTCTGTCTTCTGTTCTATTCCTTTGTTCTGTATATTTGTTTTTGTGCCAGTACCATGCTGTTTTTGTTACTCTGGTCTTTTGATATAATCAGCAGTTGGCCATAGTAATGCCTCTAGTCTTGCTCTTTTAGCTCAGGAATCTTTGGCTATTCTGGGTTATTTGTGTTTCCATATCGTTTTAACATTTTTTCTGGTTCTGTGAAAAACAATGTTGGTATTTTAATACAGATCACGTTGACTGCAGATTGCTTTTGGTAATATGGCCATTTTGACAATGCTGATTCTGTGAATCTATGAACAAAGGATATCTACATTTTCTTTAAGTGCTCTGCAATTTTTTTCAGTCAGATTTTATTGGTACATTTTGTATATATATAATGATCTCATTCATCAGAGAGAATTTGTCTCCATACATGATACAACTTGATTCTTCTTTTTCTCATGCCCCACCCACCTTTCAATTCCCTCCTCTCCCCATTTACAAAAGCTTCATTTCCATTTTTTCTCTCTTCTTTTTTTTTTTTTTTAAAGTTTTCCTTTTCTTTCTTTCCCCCTAACTCTTCTCTTATTCCCCTTCCCATTTGAACCTTTTCTTCCTCTTTCACAGTACCTAATATACATTTTGGTCCTTACTGATACATTCTGTTTCTCACACCAGAGAAACAATGTGGTATTTACACATGTGAGTCTGATTTATTTCACTTAAGAATATGGTTTCAAGGTGCATCCATTTACCTAGGAATGTCTCAAGTTTATCCTTGTTGATGGCAGAATAGTACTCTGTTGTGTTTTTAAAAAACCCACATCATCTTTATTTGTTCACCAATTGATGGGCATTTGTCTGTTTCCAAGATTTGGCTATCACACAGACTGCCACTATAAATATGAATGTACATATATTGCCGTGGTGTGATGCTTTTGGTTCTTTCACGAAGATACCCAGAAGGGTAAAACTTGGGTCAGATGGAACCTCTAGTTCTAGTTTCTTGAGGAATTGCCACACTGATTTCCACAGTGGTTACACCAGTCTGCACTCCCCGCAACAGTGGAGAAGAGTTCATTTTTCCTCTCTAGCATTTGTTATTGATTGATTTTTTTTGATAATAGTCATTCTTTCTAGAGTGAGATCAAATCTCAGTGTTGTTTTCATTTGTATCACTTGAATGACCAGTGATGTTGAACATTTTTCATATATTTGCTGTTTGTACTTCTTCATCTGAGAAATATACATGCATCTCAGATGTCCCGTTTTGGATTGGGTCTTTAAATTTGGGGGGGTCCTCATTTTTTGAGTTCTTTATATGTTCTCGGTAGTAATCCTTTGTCTGAGGAACAGTGGCAAATATTTTCTGTCACACTGGATTGTCTCTTCACTCTGTTGGTTGTTTCTCCTGCTGTACAAAAAAAAAAAAAAAAACTTTATAAAAATAAGATGAGATCCCAGTTGTTGATTCTTTGTGATAGTTCCTCCGTGATTGAGGTTTTGTTCATTAAGTCTTTCCCTGCACTAGTGTCTTCATGAGTTCTGTTGTATTGTTCTGCACATTTAATGTTTGTTTTAATATTTAGA